TCTGGTGTGCCAGCATTCCTCTTGGCTTTCCTTACTTGCCGGCATTGCATGCCCTGGATCCCGGTGGAAAGCCAAGGAGCCGCCCAGAGCCACCACGGGTTTTAAGCACGTGCTCTCCCTGCAGGTGGAGGCTGCCATGGACACGTCTGGACCCCGTGGGAGATGAGGGAGGGGAGGTGGGAGAAGGGGCTGCTCTTCAAGTTGTGCACGCATCCCATCGCTAGGAATTCGCAGTGCCCGGCAGCTGCTGACGGAAGCCCTGCACTGGGCTCTTCCAGGCTCTCACAGCGGCAGTTAAAGCAAACAAGTACCTGCAGCGACACACCATGCCTGGGCCGGGCACTGGGAACGGTCCACACTTGGCTCCTCCTCAGTGTCTTTTGGCTGATCCCACAGCCTGTCTGCTGGCCTTTCTGTCGCCGAGTTCACGGATCTGCCCGGGAACTGGGCTTGCACTGCAGCAAAAGGCCCCGCAGCACGATCGCGCCTGGAAAGTGTGTCTGCCTTAGCCCTGAGTCATGCTTACCCTCCTGGCCTGTGTTTATCCCTTATCGTGAGCCACCATACGTGTTGCACTGAAATATTTTTCCCTCTCTATTTCCAAGGAGATCACAATGAATGGTCACTATGGCAACAAGCATTCACCCTTTGTGCAGCAAGTGACGCATCAAACCCGGTTACATGGAGATACTGGGAGTGACTCTGGCGTGTTGCGCTGACCGAGGAGCCGGCCCCCAGGCTCTCTCTGACTTGGCCCACAAGGTGCGGGAAGACCCGACTCCTTTCCTTCTTGGCTCAGAGAAGCACCCTGATGCCGGCCCACTGGGCTAGCCATGCAGATTTCAGAGCTTCTCAGCACTTTTGGCAAATGGGTGAGAGCGAGAGCTGCATCGAAGTTAAAAAAATGTATTGATGCCTAAACGTATCTGGTAAGGGAAGGACTGATCAAGACAGCAAGGCTGCAATCCTACACCTGCTTACCTGGCAGTAAAATGCATTGAGCTCAATAGGACTGATTTCTGAACAGATCTGCACAGGATTATGCGGTAAAGTACACATGCCTACATCCAGTGGTCTATTGTACAAGAAATAACGATGCCTCCACCTCTTAATATTTTCTGCCCAGTTCCGTTGGGAAAAATAACCAAAAGCCCAGCCAGCTTAGGTAATGCTTAGCATATCCGTCCCGTGACCTCCTTCGCAGTCGCCTTGGGCTAGAATTGGCTTGCAGCAGCAAGTGTGAGCGGGAAACGCAAGATGGCGTGGCTGGCCATTGGCAGTGCGTCTGCTGCAGCTCCTGGCACCGGCCCAACCCAGGATTTGATTCTGATGTACCCTGCAGTGCTGAGGGAACTCTCTGCCACACGCTAGCTCTTCCTCAAGGGTGAGAAGGTAGCCACCGGAGAGAAATGGACACAAACGTTGGCAAATTCAAGCGCATACTGATCCCCGAGAGATGCCTTTTGAGGATTTTTGAGCAGTCCATTTGGTCCCTTCAGAAATACCCTTTTTCAGTGAGGCGATCGCTTGTTTTATTTTTATTTTCATGGCAATATATCTCTACTAATACGGGTACATAGCCAGGCACTCTGGGAGCTGGACAAGGCTGAATGCTGTTGCACTGATACTAGTAAAACAACAGAGAGGTCCTAAAGAGACTGACTCGACTCCCGTGGGGGTTGCATACAGATGTTAATCCCGCACCTTAATGCGGCGCAAGCTTCCCCTGGAATTTGTTTTAAAATCCTGTGCTTTAATCCTGTGCCTTTTTTATTCAAGGGCTTTGACAGAGGCTACGACTGAAAGCCAGTGAGGCACAGTGGCTGAAGTGTTGAAACAGGACTTGGGAGATGTTACAGCCTTTTAAGGGTGATGAAGACATCCAAGGACATTCAAGGGCATGAGGGGAGTGCCCACCCCTGGTGGTTCACAGGGCTGCTCTCCATCATATGCTGCTTTCGTTTATCTTTACATTTTTGCAGTTTGGAACATTTTCAGGTATTCGATTGCATCCACTATGAATAGAGAGCCTTGGCTATTGGGCAGCAAAGAAAGAAACGAGCAAGCAGGGATGGTAAGAGCAGCGGTAGTAGTGATGGCAGTGAGAATCCCCTGACTACATCACAGATGTCCATCTGCCAGATTTGTGCAGGCTGTTGCAGCCGCCGCATCCTCCAGGTGGTTCACCTTATCTTTTCGCTGAGGGAGAAATCGCTGAGGGAGAAAGCAGGGAGAGAAAGCAGGAAAGGGCAGCCGAAGAAGAGCTGGCTGCTCAGGTCCAAAGGCTGGTTCTGAATATCAGGAGCTGTGCAGAGCAATTTTCCAGACAGTAAAACACGCTGCCATCATGGTTTTAGGATGGGAGAAAAAAGAAAAATGCCCCACAGAGTCTACACATTTCCAAACGTGCTGCTGAGTATCTTCCTTGTTCGCTTCTGATGCAGTCAAACATGCAGGCGTTTGTTCAGAATCACTGCAATTCACAGCCAGCTGTCAGAAAGGGGAACATTAAAAGGAGAGACCAGCAAGGATGGCGACATGTTGGGAGGCGGCTGCATTCGGAGCCTGAGCCATGGGAAAGCAGGCAGGCATCTGCACAAGAGCAGAGAATGAATGCATGCATGCTATGCCGGGCTTCAGCACAGTGCTGGTGTGCAAAGCTCCGGAGGACTGAGTGAGATGCAGCCCAGCAGAGGCAGCTGGGCAGGTACACGGCAAGCGGATAGGGGGCTCTCTTCCCGCCTTCTCTAGCTGCTGGTCTCCATCGCTCTCACCAGCTGTGGTGTGCAAAGACATGGGGTTATGGGAGACGGTGTCCTGCAGGAGGCTCTGGGAAAGGCGATGCACTTTTTGCGGGGCTTTACGGCACAGAAGCCAAGCAGAGCAGGAAGGCGGAGAAAGACGTCTTCCTTGTGCCCTCCGTTCACTGCTGCTGCTCCTGACCTGCCTCCTGGGAAAGACTGGCAGGCAACAGGAGGGAAACCAGAGGTGGTTCTGCAGCTTGTATTTGAATCTCAGCAGGAGGCAAATTTATGGGCTTGAAAAAACGTGCCTTTCCTTGGAAGTGGGCTTGGAGATGTTTGCTATCATCCCCAGTTTTTGCAGAGTCAACTGTATCAGTTTTGGGGATTTGGAATTCTCCAAAAGCCTTGAGGGCTTGGGGGTCATTTCCTTAAAGACACTTCTGTGCTGTGAGGATTTGGCTTTTCAGTTGCCTTATCTATGGATGGCTGTCAGTGTGTAGCTCTACTGGCTCTTCAGGCAGATCTTCCAAAATGGGAAGAGTGGTTGGCTATCTATCAAAGCCCTGGAATTCTAGGACAGCCATCCCCATCCAGACAGCCTCCAGAAGTGTGGGTCTTCAAGTCCTCTCAGGTCTACCCAGCATGACCAATGGCCAGTTTTAGCTGTAGGCTGAAACTTCTGGAGGGCTCCAGATCAAGGAATATCTTGTAAGGCTTCCTTTCAATGCCTGGGAGGTTTTTCACTTCCATCCATTACAGCTTCTACATTATATTTCTTCAGTTACTATCTGCTGGTTATTCTGCATGTATACATTCGTGCCTTTGTATTATTAACACATTGTTGGTACCTGACATTCTTTCAACTTGTTTGTCCACTGGAACGTGGGACTAACTCTGGCTCCCCCCACATGCTGCCTCCTGGGCTGGCTGGGAAGGTGGGAGGCGCAACCCACTGAAAACCTCAGCTTGGAGAGGGCCGATGGACACTGGTTGGCAGCGGCGACTCTCCAGGGTTTTGGAGAGGAGATGGAGACGGAGGACTACTCAGTACACAGAAGCCCCACCATGAGCTACTGGATGATCATCACACGTTTCCCACCTGCTGCTGTGGAAGATCCTGCAGTCATTTCAGTGCCAGAAATCCTGGTGCTTAAAAGACAGATGCTTGGAGAAGAGCTGGGCACCCTTCCAGAAAACTTCTCAAGCCCTTCAGGTTATTTTCTCTCACTGCTGCAGTATAATTAGTAACAGCACTTCCAGTGACTGATGCTCCCAGTTGTTCTATTTTTCCTATTTTTATGACTGACTCAAAAGTTCACTGGGTGATGGATGGTGGTGGGTTTTCTTTTTGTTCTATAGGAGGAGGAGAAAGGCTGAGAGAAGAAACCCTGAGCAATGCATTTCATTTGAGAAGCACGTTTCGTAATTCTACTTTGACAGAACCTCACTGGGATCCATGGCCACCACTTGCGCTTGCAACCTTTGGCCCATGGCTTGGATGAGAAATGGGCAATTGGTGGCACTCCATGTTTGGGTTTGCAACTTCCATGATCCCTCCCCGTTAGCTCTATCGGCTAGGGAGCTGCGGGCCAAGACACCTGGTGGATTGCCTGCTGTCCACGCAAGCACAGAGGATTCCTCTGGCACGAAGCACAGTCTTTGTTCTCTTGATCAAAGCAGAATGTGATAATAAAGTTATTCGCCCACAAGTAGACTAGAGTGATAGAACAAACAGAGCCGCTCTCCAAGGATCTGTGCTGGGACCAGTGCTGCTTAATTTCTTCCTAAACAATATGGAGTTGGAGTGGGCAATGGCCCCGTTTACTGATAACAGGAAATTATTTAGGATGGTGCTAAGAAAAAGGGACAGCAAAGACCCCCAAGGGGACCTATCCAACTGGGGACGTGCACAATTAGATAGTAATTGGTGTAGATGTTAAATCAGGGCAATTTAAATTGGTGATTTATACCAGCAACAAAAAGGGTCAGTCTGGGCCCCCCTCATACGAAGTTCCTAGATCAAAGCTGCAACTCCAGAGGCTCTGCCTCTTTTGGTCCCCCCGCGAGACCACCACTGCTTTGGGACACAGTTTCTTCTACGGGGGATGGCAGAAGGCGGAGGATGGGGTCAAAGTGGGGGGGGGGGATGGGAAACTGCATCCTCTTCAGGAGCTGGAAGAGGAGGTACCATAAAGATGACCCAACATGTCTGCACAACTGACACTCATGTTCAGTTCAGAAAACACACACAATGGAGGCATTTCTCATACTTGACCTTTATTGGAGTCATTTGGGGGGTCATTTATTTTACAGAAGTAACTTCACACTGCTCTCTTCCAATTTGATCCCCTATAAATCCGTAGCAAAATTGCACTTTTAATCTATAGTATATATCTTTCAATATTCTCTCTCAGTCTCTCAAGTCAGGAATCTTATTTGTAAAAACATTATCACCAAATATACAAAATACAAGTTTAGTGTTCTCTTCTGTTACTTTGCCATATTTGCTGTTTAGTGTCTGCTTAATGGGACCTTCTCGCCCCCAGGCCAAGGCCTGCAAGATGACCGACTGGTTACTGAGGCCAGTTGGGGGTTTTCTTTTTGAGGGGACGTCTAGCAAAGTGAAAATTCACAGGTACTGCAGTATCATCGACCAGTTGTCAAGTTATTTTATTAGAGATGACAACCTCTGAAGAAAAGAGTTAATTTGCATATTAGACAGTATAAATCAACTGCGTGGATTTTCATCCTGAAGTTGTTTGAGGGTATAAATACTGGAACTTGAAACCAGTTCTGAACATGTTTTTTTGTTTGTATAGAAGAGTGTGCACCTTATGGAGTGCCATTGGGCACGCGAAGAAGACAGCAAGATGTCAAGGACAGCCACAGGAAGACGACGACGAGTATGCAACGTGCTGTTTAAGCAAGCTCAGCTTTTTGGTAAAAACAAAGCACGAGTTGTGTATTTGCATCAAGTAAAACTCTTTCTTGCCAGTGGCCTAATTTGGAAGACTGCCCTGGGACATGCAGATCCAGCTTTAGTGCTGGAGTAGAACAGAAAAACGATTCTCCACTTCCAGTCATCTGCCCTAATGCAGAGCGCCGAACATTCACCGGTGCCTACAAAGCACTCGTGTGCCAGCTCCTGATTCCCCGCAGCAGGGGCAGCTTACCTTATTTTGGGGTGCAATTCCCCACCCAATAAGTAACCTGCAGGAAATGTCTCTCTTCATTTAAGTAAGTGGGGACACTTTTCGGGTAAGGCTGCTGTGCAGGGCACATCCAAAGTTCCCACACCCCAGACAGGGCACTATCTCAATGTGATCTTTTAAGCAAGTGGAGGTAGGTGGGGACGCAGCAATGAGCAGATTTCAAATGCAGTTGAATAATGCTTGCAGTCTTCTCCATTGCACAGATTCTTTCTAATAATCATTACAGTTACAATATATAAAGTTGTTCAGCCTATATTACCTAAAGCGGTCTTCCTAAGATTGCGTTGTCTTTTACTGTTGATGCGGTAGCGCAATAGGAACTGTCAAGTTACTCAGAGGCAAACGGTCAACTGATTCAAAGGGAGGTTTCCCAAGGCGTTAGTGCATGTTAACCTGAATGGCGTCTTTTTCAAACCACCGTTGTTTCTAAGACGAAATAGGTTTGCATCAGTTAACCCCCACAATTAATGTTGCTTCATGTGTGCTGATGGCACAGAAACCTATTTCTAAAGTTGCTTCTGTGAGTAGAATTCTGTGCAGAACTGATTATACAGTGAAGCAAACACGCAACAGATCCTGTGTCAGCAGAGGGCACTTTTGGCTTATATGACAGCTCAATGAAATACAGTAACTTCAGCTTTTATGCGTTGACAGGACCCCAAAGACTTGCTTCTAACTCTTTGCTCCACTGGATTCTGCCATGTTGGGGCTCTGAGTCAAAACCTCTAACAGAAACAAATGTATAATAGATTATAAAGCATATAAAAATTACTTCTCCAGGAGATTTCAGGAAAGAGACAGACAAAAGTGGAAAAACACATAAGAATAAATAGTGTTATCTGAAATCAAGACACCATTGAGGAAATTCATAATGCTGTGGAAGCATCAACTTTCTGTCCTTTTCCCATTCGTAATGTTAAAAGTGTGATACTTCGAAAACGACTTAACCTGGCAGCAACCTTGATGTCCTGAGCCACCAAAACTTGTTAGCAACTTCCTCCTGCTCATATCTTAAAACCAGTTTGGAGCCAATGCTGAAGATTTAAGTCATTCTGCTAGAATACAGAAAAATGACAACAATGGAAACCAAGTTACTCTCCGGCCATGACCGAACAGTGAACGAATTCTACAGTGCTACTTTAAGGACAGCTTCCTTGGTTCTTGAACAATTAAGCAGCCAGGTTTCAAGTAGAGGTAACATCGATTTTGGAAATTAGCACATATAAAATAGTCCGGAAAGAAAACCAGAGCAAAATGTATCCTTGCTGAGGACAGTCGTCTTCCTTGCAGAAATGATCCAGTTACTCTCCGGTGGTCTTATGGCAATGACAAGGAATGGATCTTACTATCACCGCAATGTCTTGTCTGGACACAGCCTTGATCCCTTCTTTTGCACACCTGGAAGATGCTTTAAAATGCATTGTCTTAGTCCCTTGATTGGTAGAAGAGGATATATCCAGATTCTGAATTTTTTGAAATGTCCGATGTTAACCCATAGAATTCTTCAATAGCTTGAGCATCAATTTTCTGCAATATTAGGATATATAGTTTTAGCAATACTGCCTATTTCCTACCATCTAGTTTTCTGATGCTCCCTTATCATACATAGATTTTTTTTCCTAGGGAGGGTGAGCATGGAAAACAACATCAGAATTAATCCACATTAAAACCTTTGAATAATCCACTGGCTAAGTCAACCAGCTGCTTAAATGGGATCATCAGGCATTCACTACCCCACCTAGTCTAACAGATGAGGACTTAACAGAGGCTGATCTAACAGAGGTTATTCTATTAAAGCTGTGATCTTATATTCAATTTACCTAGGAATAAGCTGTCCCAAACACAATAGAGTTGACTTCTGCATAGAAATACAGAAAACTGCACTCCAAAATTCAGTGGTCGCTAATTGGTTGCGAATTCTGTGGAATGACACTTGGCTAAGCATCACTGAAATCCAGATCTTAGGACAGCAGTCAGAAATTGACGGAGCCACAGATCCCCCCGCCCTCAATTCTCTTCTCTACGCAGTTTGGCCACCGATTCCAAAATACTTTCATTGACAAGACCCACAAAGTAACAGAATAAAACTGTTTTTGAATGGCAAATAACAGCTTCAGCTATGGGGTGGTATGTAATAAATACGCGATAACTATAATCATTTCAGCTCCTTGGAAATGGGAAAAATAAAGAAAATAGGAAGGATATCTGCACGACCCAAACTGCAGTGCCAACAGAAGACTGTGTGAAAAATACAACTGAGTCGGTATTAATTATCACTGACACAATCCAGGTTCAAGATGTATCTTGATTCAAGTCTCTCTTCTAATTCTTCATGAATGTAAGATTTAACAATACAGATTTTGTGCAGACTTGGCCTATTAAACATTCAAATGCTGTTCTGTGATGGTTTGGGTTAGGCCCTGATGTCCACATACGGAAGGAGGCTCACCTCCCCTCTCCATCCCCTGACAGTCCCCAGAGCCCCTGAAAATGCTCCCTGAAGAGCTGGGAGATCCCAGTGAGTGAGCCAAGACAGCAGGGAGAAGGCAGCACAGGAACGGGGAAATCACAGGACTCAGGCGGGGGCAGCACGTGTTCCACTTACAAAAAACGCCTCCAACGCCCTTCCTACAAGCCCTTCCTTCTCCATCACTCTCTCTGTGCCACAGCTCACTCCATACAACCAGGTGCCTGGCCCTCAAGGGAGCGTTCGTGCAGGGAAAAAGTTTTATTGAAATAATTTAATTACAACCTCCAAACTAGCGTAATCAGGCAAGGATTAGTGACGTAAGGAAATAATCATGCGACATGAAAGCAGCTTTGGCCCAAGGCAGCAGGGAAGAGGTTTTACAAGAGCCTGCAAGCTTGGCGTAAGATTTAGACCTACCTCTACAATGTCATCATCAAATAGCAACCAAAACCCATGGCTTTTCACAATGGTGATATAATGTCCTCGGTTTGGCCCACTGCGACAAAGGAAAGATCTTACATTAATGGCAGAAATTGACATTTCACCCTCAAGAACTTCACCCTATCCGCAATATTATGATAACGATTCTTCCCCTTTGCTTTTCAGACAACTGTTCTCCAAGGTGGCCTCCACCGCTTCTTGAAACATAACTAAGCAAAACAAAGAAACAAACACACATTGAAGACAGTTAAGACTAGAGCAGTCAAAACAACACCCACCCTCCAGAATTAAATGTGGCATACAAAACAAAGGGCCTGTAAGAATGCCAGAATAAAACAGCCCTTGGGAACATCAAAGACCCCCAGTGGATCAGTCCAAAGAGCCACCTCCTCCAGCCTCTACCTCCATACAGGCCAACTGGATGGCTTCAGAAAGAGGACAAGGAATATGTCTTCCAGCAGCTGGTATCTGAGCAACCATTTTTCTGCATCCTGTAAATGTCCTTCCATTCCACAAAACCGGCTCCCTTACGCTATTTTTAAGTGTCCAGCCTTGTAATCCAACACCAATAAAACAGAATTTAATGGAAGCAGTTGAGTATTCTTGACAATACTCTGTTGAACCACCTGGTGGCGCTGGCTGTATAAAAACTGATCAAGCTGGAAGGCTTTAAATAACTTCATTGTTCCCAAAATAGCATTTACTTCCATTTTGTTTCCTAGAAGGTGAGGCGGCCTGCATCTGGCTCCTACAAATAACCCCACATTTTCAACAAGCAGTGTAACACATTCATGGATAACCTACGTGCACACGTGAAGAGAACGGCTAAATGAATGGATGTGCTTGGAGCACGAAGAAAGAAAGATCTAGCCAAAGGGAGCGTGTGTTTTAAAACAAATTTGTTTATTGTACAACTGTGATAGGGCGAAACATTCTGCTGCAGTGAAACAGGTGCAGGGCATTCGGCCTCTGCTCCAGTCCCAAAACATTCTTTCCCTGCTTAAATTATCCTGAGGGATGCAGTTCTTTGCGCAAGCACTGGCCACACTGACTGAGAAGAGATATGGGAGCCCTGCTAAAGATGCCCTCCCTCGTGTTCTTGCCCACCGAGCCTCACGCAGAGGACATGCCAGGAAAGTTTCTGTTGTTCTTAAAGGGCAGCCAAGTTGATATGGGTAAAGGTGGTCCCAGTCCATTTAAGGCAGACTTCCCCAACTGGGTGCTCACTGGGTGATGGCTGGTTGCTAAGGGAAGTGCAATCCGAGAAACAGAGCCACTCAGGACGGTATCCCGGGCCATCTAGTCTGACCCCTGGCTCCAACTGGCTCTGTTCATGACATGCCTACCAAGTGCCTGTCCAGCACAATCCAACACATCTAGCAGAGTGCCAAGTCAGGGAAGACGGGTTCAAGGCTTCAAACGTTACAATCAGCCATTCTGCGACAGGGCCACTTTCTTCCTGTGCACCGGCTCAGAGCTCACCTGCCACAATGCACAACGACTGCCACGAGATCGTACATTCGGTCCGGATTGGTGGCATCCCCTGAAGTGTTGAAGAGACGAAGCTCCAAAGGAAAGACGACACGGTAGGAGAGTTTGGTATATCGGTGCAGCTGGTCCATGTATTTGAACCTTTTCAAGTGCAGAGCAAGAATCATGGGCAATTTTTTCACTCGCATCCTGGGCACCCAAAATCAGAGAGGAGGGAGGGAGGGAGGGAGAGGGGGAGAGAGAGAGAGAGAGAGAGAGAGAGAGAGAGAGAGAGAACACCAGATCTACCTTAGAAAACTTCTTAATGCTGAGAGCACTTTTTAAAAACAGTGTAGAAGACAGCACTTGGGAAGTTCTGGCAGATAAATAATTAATTTTCAATGTGAATGTAGCTGAAATATTACTCAGAACTATGGCAATATAAAATAGGAAGACTTAGCGTGTTAAGGGACACTGAGTGCAAAATTGCTAGTTGTCTGGTCCAAAACCATCCATCTTCTGTCACAACAAGGAACAGAAAATGAACTCTGCCCTATTGCCCTTCCTGTGATTAACTGAAAAAATGAGGAAAACTACATTTTTTTGCATGCATGGGAGAAAGGGAAGGAGATAAAGGGGCCAAGATACCCACAAAAGAAAAGGAGAAAAAAGATTTGCTACCAGTCAGTATCTCCAAAAGGAGAAGAAACTGAGCTGAAGACAAATTTGATTGGTTCTGCTTCAAACACAAAGGGAGCTCCCCATCTATACCAAAACTGGACAACTGTCCTTCTCCCTTTTACAGACTAAGATCAGCAGGGGCATGGCCCCCAAGCAACCCGACCCATCCTTCCAAACCAAATATTCCGCTTCAAGAAAATTTGGTTTCAGTGCCAGGAAAAACTAAATTGTGCAACTTATATATTACAGATAAGTATGCGATTTGCTACATGGTTGTGTTCTGCCCCCAAACCCAGAGCAAGCTTCATTTAGCCGCTCTTTTAGCATGAAACATTTCAACAGGCTTGCTCAGGCGGTCAAACCCATCTTGGCAACTGCAAAGCCTGGAAACTTGGGTACAAGATCGACAGCAAAGTTTTCATATATCCTGCACGTCTTCTGGACTCTGGAATTGCTGCAGAAACCCAACTCTAACTATAATATGCTTATGATATATCAGAGCTATTTCTACCCTGCCTTTGAGCCAGAGACTCTCAAAGCAGAATGCAATATTGCCACAATCAGCAGCACTTAACCAGCACAAAACATTTCCGTAAGAACTGTGTGCGTGGTGCGGGGGGGGGGGGGCATGGCTACAGCAGGAACTGGGAGCCATCAAGCTGCAGGTCGGCACCTCCCGACTGGCCCCATCCCCTTGACCTCACCTGCCAGTGCCCGGGAGACTCAGCTGTCATGTATCCCTTGGCTGCTTGGCTCCTCTGCTGGGCGAGGAAGCGCCTTCTCTCTCCCAGCCCAGCACAGAGGCCAAGCAACCTGCTGGTGCGGAAAGAGACGCCTCTGCTCCTTCTCCGTGCACCCGCTGTGTTTTCGTGCGGTGCGGGGGGAAAGAGAACACTCCTGGCCACCGTCCAGCCCCGCTGCGTTCATGCGCGCGCGTGTGGCAACGCCTGGTGTGTGCGTTCCAGGAAAAGGGCGAGCAGGGGGAGCCCTTGCTCCCCGAGCCAGAGAGGGGTGGGGAGCCCTAGACCTGCGCGCCGCAGCATGTGCCCCTCGCCATACCGCCCGAGGCTCACACTCCTGTTTGGCTACACGGCTGAGACAGAGCCAGGTCCACCCGCTTGCGGGCCCTGGAAGGAAGGTGCAGTAAAAGCAGGAGACGGGACCAGCCCCGGCCTCACCTCTTTTGTGCTTCTTGTTTACTGCGGCACTGCTCACAGTAGTACTTATACTCGCTGCACAGAGTCTCAGTATTGCTGAACCCCCTGCAAAGATCGGGAAGGGAAGAGGAGTTAGCGTCTTCAGGCTTTCTGCCGCTGACCGAGCTCTCCGAGGCCTGCTTGCGCGCCGCTTGGGCCGTGCTACGGCAGGCTCAGCTTCCCATGCCCCGACCAGGTGCCACCTGACGCATCTGGGGCACACCCCAAAGGGGAAGGCCGGAAGGAGGTTGCACGGACCTCATCAAGCTAGAAACTAAGGTTTGCTTTGTGAGAGGACTTCACCGCTTAAGGACTTCATGTCCTTAAGGCCCCATTCTGACCTTTCTTGGTGACAGAGCAAAGTCCCAGCCAGGTGAATATTTGGCTTAAATGGCCCCCCAAATGCCAATAAAGCGAGATCCAGTTTCTACTGGCCATTCAGCACTCTTCCTGAAGCTTCCTTGAAGAGAAGCGTACCTTCACTATAATAGTCCCAATTCACTATAAAGATGCCATCCCTTGTGGTCATATTCAGGAAGACGGGCAAGCCCATGAGGCGCTCTGTGGAGGCGTCTGGAGAATCCGAGAAGGGCTCTCCATCCCACGTGGTTGCAGCTCTGCCTGGGGTGGGGATGAGCTGTGTCCTACAGCCCCTGGGGCAATGAGCTGGTCCACGTGACATGACCATCCACCACACCCGCCGCTCCAGTGCTTGTGGTTCGGTCCAGCTGTGGGCAGCCTGGTTGTTACAGACAAGCCACCCTGACAACTCAAGGCTCGTTCCAGGGCTCTCTTAACCATCATGGCTTGCGCCACCCAAGCTCGGAGCCCCGTGTCCTCATGGCTTGCTGAATCGCGCTGCCAAATCCTGGTGCAGGAGTGGCCGGAAATGCTGCTGCTGCTCTTCTCCCGGTGCACTTCCTGGCTTCCGACATCCACCCAGCATTCGACTGCACAGTGATGCCCTGCACCCTCCCAGCATCCTAGGCAGCCTCCTCCCTCCCAGGGTCTCTTGCCACTTCCTTTTCCCCACTACATCATAAAATAAAGCTGAAAGACTCCGGCAGGAAATCCAACACTGCCCCGTGTCATCCAGCCTTTCTCTTGCTCTTCCTCACTTTCAAGATCTGGACTGCAAGCTGCTCATGGGAGACAAAACGTTTTATATTTTGTACACAGGCTCAAGCCACGGGGGCAAAACTTTTGCCTGAACGACTCGGTTCTGTTTGGCCACTCCTGTTCTAAACAGCCACCGAGGATTACCTTAAACAGTGCGTTATTGATGTGTTTTGTTCCACGTCAACCGACAGGTCCAGAAAATCCTCATCTTTGCTGCTAACCTTGAGAAGCAGGATAAGGAGATGCAGGGAAGGCACCATTAAAAAGAATCAGGCACGTTTAGCAATGTTTACAGCTTAATAAATAGAACAAAATGTCAGTTCAGTAAGTAAGGCATTTCTTGGATTCAGAAGGATGTCTGAATGTGTAGCAGGGCACTGGCTTACTTGGTGTTGACGGTCCTAGCAACTATATAACAACAATTATAGTAAACAATTGGCCCTTATTTACAATCCAGGCAGCTGGCTGGGATTCCGGGCTGGCAAATGTGGAAAACTGGCCACAAATCGTATGTGTCCTCAGCCATCGCTGCTCTGCCGCTTCTCAAAACAAGGGCACCCCAACAGCTGGTCCCACTCAGAACGGCTCCCTGGATAAGACAGTTGTGGGCTGAAATAAACATGACGCCGTTCATGCAATCCGCAATTTCACTGGCAGGGCTGGGAGTTTTCATCTCATCCACATGAAAGACGAGGGGGCACAGGGGTTTAAATCCTCCCCTCTAACCTGATCTGGCCCCCTAGGCCTTTTGGCAACACACCTGGTGGGCACCAAGTTGGGGAAAGTATTGGGTTACCTGCAGCACTGGTCCAACCCAACAGAGGGCAATCATACCTCTTTGGTCCTACCTGAGGAGCGGAAGGACTAAAGAGATCGTTTCTCCAAGACAGGAGGTGACAAATTTGCTGCGCAGGGGCCAGGTTAATTGTTGAAAAGCAAGACTGGGAAGGGGCCCAGGACAGGACAAGGGGGGCAGCCCCCAGATATTCTAGCAGAATGTAGGCATACTGGTCAGGTGCACATGTCCTAACTGAAGCTAATCTTTATGAACAGTTCACATTTTTATATATGCAAAATAAGGAGGACAAATTATCAAGGCTCATTAGATCACTGCAAAAAGAAGAGTTGAGGGGAACTCAGAGAAAGCACCAGCAAGAATAACGTACAGCTTCACAGTTAAGACATCTGGTTTCATTGGTTAGTGTCCCCTGGAAGATTTCATGGACCCAGGTGAGGTCGGCCTTCTCCCCTTCATCGCTCTCGATGCTGCCATTCTGGAGCCTGCCGTTCTGCTTCTCCTGCTTCTTTTCCTCCTGGAGCAAGTCGGCAATCGTGTTCAGTAGGTAGTTGAGGAATTCATGTGCATCCTGCTGCATGTAATTGTCAAACAGCTCTGGCAACGAAGAGACAAACAAAAAAGAGGGGAGTTATTAGCACAGCAGTGTCTGTGTTGCTTTTGGGACTGTCATTTTGCATGGGGGAAGAGAACACAGAGAAGTGTTTGAGAGTTCCTTATAAGAGAAGCATTATCAGTATAAATAAATAGTGTTCAAATACTGCTGGAGGGCCTTTTCCAAACCTGCCGGTTTCCTCACAGGTGCCTGAGGAAGAAAATACAGCCTGGAACCCTCCCTTCTACTAATTATGACAGGCAACTGCTGGGGAATTCTCTGGGCTGCAAAAGCAAAGAAAAAAGGGAGGAGGAAGCCTCATGCGGGAGTGCATCCTAGCAAATCACATCAAGTGGACCAGATCCGTGTTCTCACTCTCAACTGTGGCAATTTCTCAAGTGGTCTAAAGAGGGTCATAAGGTGTTTTTCCCGGTTATTATATTTTTGTTCTGTTTTAAATTTGATTTTAAATTTTGCATTGTGAATTCTTTTGAGGTTTTAATATGGTGCATTTGATATTGTATTTTTAACATGCTGTCGTGAACCACCCAGCTGTTAGGCAGTATAGGAACTAGTGTAGCACGGTGGTTAAGAACGCCAGACTGGGACTCAGGAGACATGGGTTCTGGTCCCCGCTCAGTCATGGAGCTGGCTGGGTGACTTTGGGCCAGTCACAGTCTCTCAGCCCAACCCACCTCGCAGGGTTCTTGTTGCGGGGATCAGATGGAAAGCAGGAGAAGGAAGATGCTGTAAGCTGCTTCGAGTTCTTTAAAAAAGAAGAAGGTGGGATATAAATTTTAAAAAATAAAGGCGGGAGCATCTGCACTGGATGCAAGTAATTCACCCTCCCTTGAGAGAGGCCCACTCCTGTCCATACCCACATGATTTCTTTTCTTTCTTTCCTTCTTTCTTTTTTGGTAGCTCATTTAACCATTCAAGTGTAAAACATCGAAGACATTGTCTTGGATGGTGGTTTTAATCATTAACTCATGGCGCAACCTCAGGACCAGCAGGGGCTCTTCTGACAGGGTGGGCTGTGAGCTGAGAAAATCCCTTCCACATAGACGGCTGCAACCTCAGTCCCTGACATCCCCGAGAACGACCCATGCCCAGGGCCCGGGAGAGCTGCTGCCCGTCCTTCCCCATACCTCGAGCTGGCAAGCCAGGGGATGCCGCAGTCCAACGCATCCGAGGAATGCCAGGTGGGGGAAGGCTGCTACAAGCACTGCCAAGCTAAACGAACTCCCAGTCTGACGGCAGGAGGCTGTCCTGTCTTCTGCTCTTTAGAGGAGCAGGAAAGAAACAAACCAGGCAGCTGCCCGCAGGCAGCAAAAGCCACGCTTTCAGCAGCCCTGGGTGCCTGCAATGCTGAAGTGTGCAAGGGAGAACCAGGAGCATTAGTTACCATTTTCCTTCCTCAGCCGGGAAATAAATTTCTTGGGAGGGATAACCCCCACCTTCTTCTTCTGTGTGGCAATGCTGCTGAAGAGGTCCGAGAGGCACGTCAGGAGACTTTCTTTTTTGCGGGGCTGCACCTTGTAGGCCAACACCTTTTCCCGGAATGGACGACAGAAGTAAAGCGCCTGAAGAACCGAGTTGCAGTAGCAGGTATTGCCAAACTGATTAAAGAGACAGCGGGGGGGGGGGGGGAGGCACAGTAGAGTGAGATAAATTATTCAGTGACATGGACTTACAACAAAAGAAAGAAAAACAACCCAAGTAACTGAACACTGAGTTCGCTGCAAGGAAAAGAGGGGAAATGCGAAGGCACTTCAGAGGTGGTGAATGTGGGACATTCGGTGGTGTGAAAATACATGCCGAGTTTAGATCGTCACCTCACTCGCAGGTGGTAGCCCCCGCTGCCCCTCCCCACTTCCCAAAATGATGAAACTGATGGATTTGCTGCCATTCGGAGATGCTGGGGTGGGGGTGTGTGGAGAGGACATTAGCTTAGCCACCAAAAAGGCCACAAGAAAAATAAAACAAAAAAGCAAACAATAAAAACAGAATGAGCTAATCTAGGGCAGCAGTTTACCCCCTTTCAACTTTCACCCCTATAAAATGTCAAGCCAAGAATCCTCTTCCAAGAACTTTTGCCTCAGACCTAAATTAGAAATCCTGTGCTTTTCGAAGTAATTGCACGGCCCTGACTAGAATTCTCCACCCCAGATGAGCCACTGTTTGAACAGACCACAGTTGGCTAAATGAATCGGCAGCCCAGTTCCATGTGTGACAGCTTTATCTGGTCCATCTCAAGGCAGAACTGAAGCTCCAAACTAAAACAGTGTGCACCATGGAAACCACGCAAGACGTCTGTCTTTGCTGTAATGATTTAAAACTACTCGTTCTACTAAGAAAGCTGTTGTTGCTTGTGCTGAAACTATCGACACTTAAGGAGCTCTGTAAGCAGGAATTCCAAAATAGCTGACAAAGGCTGGGCAGGGGACAACTTAGCCCCCTACCTCCCACCTTTCCCCATTTTTCTTTCAGCTTTGTTTTGCGATTTGGCAGACAGACACTCAGTTGCAACGACAGGTTCATAAACTGGGGGAAGGGAACTGTGTCCTACCGCATGTCATTCCCAGGGAAGCCACTGCAATGTTCTTGCCACGGGTTAAGACTGGTGAGTGACAGGCGGACGGCAAAGCAATGCCACCACCAAGAATTTGGAAAGCACAAAGGAGACGCAGTGCTGCAAGGAACCTTAGGCAGGTCAGGTCCTTCCTCTGGGTCAGCTTAGGCTGGGGAGAGGCAGGTGGGAAGAATTTCAAGTTGCCGATGGTCGGCAGAGAAAAATGCTCCTGGGAGCAAGTGAGACATCCATTTCATGTTTCCTGTTTACAAGGACGTATTGGCAACTTGCCGGAGATAGCCAGAAGCAGCTGTTTTCCATCTGTCCTATTTGAAAACTGCCTCGTTGCGGAGCAAGAGGGGAGCAGACGGAAGGGACGCGGCAGCCTCTGGAGCAGGCGAGGGCCAGACTGCCCGACACCCAAACCCCTGAGAAATTAGATGCATCCTGACATCACCAATGAGAGCCCACCGGTTGAGCAGGTTGGTGCCAGCGATTGCATATTAATGTGGGCTATTTGATTTTCACAATGTGCGACTGTAACAACAGATCGTTTGCACAACCGAGCTGCAGTGTTCTTTGCCCTGCCAACCCTTACCCAGCCCTGTCGGACATAGCCAAAGCCAAGACTCATTTCTGGGAAGAAGTGACCTCTCCAGGGCATCCTGGGTGATCTAAATGAGACGATCATCACCATTCCCCCCTGCAAACAAACAAACAAACAAACACCCTGCAAAGAATCTACAAGACTCAAGCAGGAAGGTGATAGTAAATGAACAATCACAAACAGCAGAGAAAAACCACTCACGTTAACCAAGCCGAAGTAATGTTCATTCACAGGGAACTGTTCTGGACCAATCTCTTTCTCCAAAGCAGAGGCATTGGCGCCCTGGAAAAACAAAGTTACAGCTCAGAAAGGAAAGGAAAAGGAGGAAGAGTAAAAAGGCTTTGTCTCCACTGCAATTCTGCACAAGGAAGACTCATTCTCTAACCCAAACATACACGCACCATACAATATCCCGCTGTTACATGGAGTTGTGCAGTGATCTCCCATCCAAGGGACTAATCAGGTTCACTCATTAAGTTTGGCAAAGCTATGCCCTCAACAGCTCCCAGACCATTCTGTCGGCTCTGCTCCAAAACGAGCTCAAGATCAACCAAAGTAGACCTTCTGTCACAAAAGTCATGATGCCAAAGCAACATGTCCTCTGACATGGGATCACTCTGCCATTAGGAATTCTTACCCACCTGGGTGCTCTTTCTCACGTGCTGCTGAAACACTACACAGGTTTCATGTATCACTAGACTATGAATGCCAGGCTACAATTTAATTCAGGTGGCTCTCACTTCACAGACTTTGTCCCAGTCTGAGGCTTCTGCACGATCCACACCATGCTGAAAGACAGCCTCAAGATTCCTTTTGCTGTAACTGCACATACTTGGAAGCCATTGCTTAGATTGGAACAATGTCATCTATGAAGAAATGCCAAGCGATGTTTCACAAAATAGGTTTTCAAGACTTGGTGATCTTCCCGATAGGCTTCCCAGACGCCATGCACATGGGTATTTAAGGTGCGCACAGGCGCATGTGTTACCCACTTCTCTGTGGGGAACACTGATGCACACACAGCTGCTTTGGCTGGGATCTCATGAGTTCAGCAGCAGTCAGACTGGACTCAGAAGCAATCAACACTGCCAAATAAAACTAACGCAAGAGACTATACAGGCAAGATGACGGTGTAAAGAAAAACACATCTGCTGGGGCAGAATATACAACACCACCTACAAAAGAGGAAACACATTTTGTGAATCATCTGGTGGAATCAAACTAAGTGAGAAATTGGATTATCCAGTGCATGCTACCTGTGAAGTTATAAGCGGCACTGCTGTGAAACCCAGCATTATGAATGTCGGCTTGCGGAATCCCATTTCAAATTCCCATTACTGCCCCATTTATAGTTCAAGCAACATTTTTAAAGAACACGATGCACCAAAAAACAGCACTTCTCTTTTGAAAAAAAGATAAAAACAAGCAAAATGAAACTCTGAGCACCTACTTCTTATCTAACTGTTACATGGGGGGGGGGGGAGATACACCAGTGTGACAGACAATGCATGAGTTAACAAAACAGAAAACTTTATGACTCAGATTCAAAGAAAGGGCATGTGCATGCATACAGGAATTTAACTCACTCCCAAAACTGTATTTGCCACTGCCAGGACTGCCAAAGGGATGGGGCATTTTTTCAAAAAGCAAGTTGGGTTTCTTGTCTCTTAAATAGAGAATGGTCTATTCAGCAGAAGCTGCTGCTGCTGCAAAAGCCCTTCTTGGGATCCAAGCCCACATGAGCAAGAAATTAAGGAAGCAAAGCTGAAAAAATAGATAATGTAGGCAACAAAAATAGTTTGGAGGTTTTAGCCACAATTGAGAGATGACTGAGAAGCGGCAGTCACGGCTATTACCGGTTGCAAGAACCAGGAGTGCTGAGGTTTGCATTACACTGGAAGCGAGGAGCTAGAGATGGATCAGAACAGGAAATGCAGCTCACTTGAGCTGGATGGATTTCCTGCCAGCTTCTGATCCACCACCTGGAAGCAAGATGAGTCAGGGGGTTTTTTTACATGTGAATTTTGGTCCATCCTAGAGGCAAAGTCCAACCCACTGATGACAATTGCACAAATAGACACCTGAAAGTCACATGGTTCTGGTGTTATCTGCACACAATGCACCACAGCAAGACTCTTGGAATCAAGGGGAGGCACTACCAGATTCCACCCCCCCCCCCAAAATGATGTGAGCTTTCAAGAAAATGTAGAACTGGAAAATTTTCCAATGCTCTAAATAATGTTATCCGATTTAACACCCCCCACCCCACCGTGGATGCATGAGACTGCGGATAAGAGCAAAAACTGACTAGTGCACACATGTATTTCTTTTTTCACAATTCCACGGACAGAAGATTGGGGATCTTCACTTAAAAGAAGCACTTTATGACTGCTCTTTGGCCGTTTATGGCACTTTATGACATCCCCTTTGGACCGAGCTCAACTGCAGTTAAGTGAAATAGCAGAAGCTGAACCAGCAGACATGCTGCCCCTACTGCAATGCAAGAATGCAACCTGGGCTCTGGTGCAAAGGTTCCACAGCACCCGTTTTAAAGCAAACATATATCCCACTCTCTTCCTACAAGAAGCTAAGGGAGCTTCTCCAACCTTAACCCCAACCCAAACCCTAAGACAGGAAAGCCATGGGCATTCAGGCTACTTTAAGACTGAAGGGGTTTCTAGTTGGCTGGTGCTGTTAACTTGTCTTGCTGTTTCGTTTTTAGCAGTGCTTTTAATCCCCCTGCTTTTAGGTTATGTTTTCATTATGATTCTGTTTTTAGTTGGACTGTATTGCCAGCCACCTTGAGTTGGATTTTTGGCAGAAAATGAACTATGTGTGCATGAATTTCTCCAGAAACAGACATGGCACACAAGAGAAGACACTGAATAAAGGTTTTTGACGTAATCTACAGATCTCAAAAATATCTTCGTTTGAAACCTGAGAGCTGCACCTCTCTTTCTGACAGCTTTACAGAGCTCACTCGGCTGATCAACAATGATGAATCCTGCTGAACTGAAACTTCCTGAGCGCTGTTTCAAGATGTGGCTTCGGCGATGGCTGGTTTCAAGGCAAGGATGCAGAGCTCCCTCCCATATAAATCAGGTGTCTTTCTGGGAGGATGCTCTCATCTCTTCCAGTTGAACTAAAAAAAAATCATTTCTTCTCCAATTCAAATATTACAAAGACTTCAATTTGGATTGTGTGAATGTAACAAAAGAGTTACTTTCAGAAAGTTGTGCTTTCATCCAAAAACACAGCTTTGCTTTTTTTTTTTAAACAAGGCCACTGTTGCTCCAGCTGCCAGCATTAAACTGCTGCTACCATTTCAGAATTTAACAAAACAGAAGTCCATTGTTCACCCCAAGTGACAGGCACAGCCTTTTCCATTCCAATTTTAAATGCATCCATCGCTTTTTCAAGACTACGGCTAAAATGCATCCAACAAGATCAATACCCAGCAGGACGCAAAGAGCCGCCAGAGGCAACATCTTCACCAGCAAAGCCTTGGTTTCCCAAGAAAACAAGGGGACGTGGTTAGCCAAGCGTTCCAGAAAGCACCCAAAAGGTTAAGCTGGGCATCAAATGCAGTCTGCTCCCAGGTCAGAGCAGTGCCTTTGGGGCCTGCAAGCCATCTGGGATCCCAGTCAGATCTCTGAGGTCCGGCCGCTCCCCCTGCTCTTGGAGGGGCAGGTATGCAACAATCTCCCTGGGACCTAAAGACAGCAGGTGAAGATTTTACTCAGGTAATGCTCTCCTAAATAGAATTTCCTCAGAGGAGACTTTCCCAAGCAGCTGTTCTCCAGAAGTGTTGAACTACAGTTCTTATAATCTTGCCCCAACTTTGCACGGTGGGATTGCAGGTAATGTATGAAAGGCACAAGACTGGGGAAGCTGGCCTAGAGGACGGATTATCAAGCACCCGTCTCTTCAAAATCATGCATTAGTGTTTTGATGTACAGTATATTAAATGATACAGGCTATAATTGGTAGCCTGTATTTCTTTTAAGAAATAAAGACTTAAATAAAATATGTATTGCCAAGTAGCTCAATAGTGCAGATACTGAATATGATGGCTATTTGATAGTTATTTTATTTTCAGACCCATTTAAAAGACACCTGTGTTTGCCCATCCAATGTCTAATGTAACCAAAGTTTCAAAGGAAGGAACCAAAGGAAGGTTCTTCCTTCTCTGTTTTCCCTCCTCTGTTGCCATTTATGATTCTCACTGTTTACATGTTACCTTTCCCAAGGAAGCTGATAGTAAATACTGCCACTGTTGCTGCTTCTCATTTGTTTAAGTAATAAGCTGAGTGTGTAACGTGTCCTGAGAACAGACAGCTGCCAACCAGTGCAGTTCTTTGCTGCCTGAATACGTTTTCTACATTTGAGCAGGGCATCAAAGCAGGGCAAATATACCTGTCTTTCCTCAAATTAGAGAAAAAGTATTGCATGCATCTGCTTATAACTGGTTTAGCGTAAACCAAATTTTTCATGGCAGCATGTGTTTGTTCCGTGTGATGGGCTTAAGAATTTGAGAAACACTGTATGGATGTTCTTTCCTTTTTCACTAAATTTTTATTTATTATTTATTTATTTAAAGTTTTTATATGCCGTCCCCATTGCTACATAGCCTCGGGACGGCTCACAACAACAGATAAGTAAAACAAATAGAATTACAATTACAATTAAAACTTGGATTAAACGTTAATCCAATTAAAATTCAGCTGTTTGCTTTTACCTGTGGTCAGGAGCTGCAGAGATTACTGCTATAGGCATGTCTCTTGCTTGTAAAGACGCAGCTGACTTATCATTATTTGGGGCTCACAGGTTGCAACTTATCTGAATCCCCAGAATATATATGGTGCTTCCTAACATTTGTTTACCCCACTTCCCAGTTGCTCCATGTAGGCTATGTTGAGCTTGGCTGAGAATGTGAGAAGAGAATTTTCGGCAGGATGAGCTCAAAGGGCAGGCAGGAGTACTGAAGGATCACGAAGGCAAAGCTGCATGCTCCACTGCCTGAGAGATCACCCCTTGCCCACTGCAAAGGAAGAGAAGGCACTCCATCGCACAGCAATGGGCAGATTCTTCAGATTTCCCAGGCCGGCCTTTTCTCTCGGAAATGTCCCCAAGCCAGCTCATCTCTCTACGGGATAAAAGCCTCCTGGCCTTCTGCACTGAGAAACAGCATCTTCCTCCCCACCACACACACACACAAACACACAAAACCACACACAAAACATTGTGGTAAAGAATGGGCTGTCAGACGAACACTGCACACTGCAGAAATGCCATGAGCAGTTTGGCAAACAAGGTTGGGCCAACTGGGCGTGGGGGAAAGTGCTTTCACAGCTGTGAGGTGCAAAAGCTCGACAAAAGACAAAATACCGGGACAGGAGGAGGCAGAATTAGACAATACAAATCTAAGGAAACTTTTATCTACTTGCCAGATTATTTTATGTATTTATTTATTGGGTGTGGAGAGGACTGTTAAGAGGACAGTCCTCTGCAATTTAGGATAGCAAAAAAAGTCTTACCATTCCCAGCCTAACCGAGCCATCATGGCTGGGTGAGGTCAGATGGGAGTCATAGGGCCTTTTCCCATCTAGCGTGCAGAGGACTATACTCAAAAAGAACTGAAATGCTCACTTGGGAGAAAGAAATATGGGAATGAGGTCAGAGTGCAGACCTGTTCAGCTTCAGCCTGGCTCTTGCTCTGTGCGTATTCCACACGTGCTGGCTTGCAAGGCATGGACGGAAGATGCACGATGCAACGGCTGCACTGAGGCCAAACAAGTCTCCACCTGCTAAATTATTGACAGTTTTTAAGGGTGCAGTCCTACCACAATGTCTGTAAGCCCCAGAACACAAAGGTGTATCATCATCCTATATAAAGCTTGAGAAGCAGCAAAGATTACCTTCCTCTCCCTACCCTCTCACCCTGCATTTCTGCTGGCAAGAAAGTCTGTCTAATTGGAGCATTTTGGTAGATGAAAGACGCGGGATGAAGAGACTTCAGGGTAGCTCTCCAATCTTTTCCCCTCCACACCCACCAGAACACCCCCTTTACTCCTCTCCGAGGTGGCATTCCTGACTTGAGAAGGGGAAGAGGAGGGTTGGAGTTCCAATTCCAAGCTTTGAGTGCTGGCTCAGCTCTGTGCATCAAAACCATCCCTTGGCCCCTCAAATGCTGTCCCAGGGCTTCCCAAATAGATTTCTAGCTCACTTTTAAATCCCTCTAAGTAGTTAGCACCTACTTTAAAATACAAAATAAACTAACAAACTAAACAGCCAACACTTGTTCAAGGCCAGCTCTGCACAGAAGGGTGTGCATTACTGAGGCAAGGTCAGCTTTCCTTTGATAACAGACACTGTCAAATGAGCCAAGGGTAGTAGAAACCATTCCTGGGCACCGATACCCCTTGTGCTTGGGTGATGAGCATCAGGTCCAGAAACACGCCCAAACTACATACCACCCCCTCAGGGGGAGCACAAACCCATCCAGGCTCACGTGGAGATTTCCATCGAGATCAGATTTCTCCATCTGCAACACTTATCCCTTGCAATCTATCTGCGTTCATCCAATCTGACACGACCCTCAGCCATCTGTACACTGCCTTGAGTTCCATGATCGTGGAACAAGGAGATGTAAATGTAATGAGCAGAAACAATGCTGCTGCCTGAACAGGAGGGAAGAGGGTAATGGCAGCCCCGAGGAGGGAACATGTGCGGTAGCAAAGCGCTTTCTGAAGCAAGCACCCTCATTCAGTTTAGAAGGTGGGAAAGATGAGCAGTGACACCAGTTCAAGGTAAAATGTTCTTGCTTTGAATTGAAAGCAGGAAGTCCAGAGGAGGCTGGATGTGAGCAACATGAACTCTGAGCAAAACAGAAGGCAACTCAGAAAGAAATTTAATTTTTTCCCCACCATTTCAGAATTTCCGTATGTGTTACTTCTCTGCTTCCTGCTTCACATATCATGCAATTCCAAGCCAGGAAGCAATTACACAAGGGAAAGTGCCTAAAGAGCTACATGCAGGTCATTATTGGCACACTCAGGTATATTTCATGAAACCTTCACATCCACAGACGTTATACTGGGGTGCAAGTTTCCCACTAACCTGTGCTCTGCTTATAAACCTAAATAAAAAAATATTGCACTGGACAACACACACACTTTTTATACTGTTCCAATACACAAATATTTTGCATGGGAAATATTGACGAAGGGAAGATATGGGTAGGGGAGAAACAGAGCCAAGGGAGAGAACCCCTTGGAAAGTAACCTTTGAGGGCTCAATTTTCAGCAAGGCAAAGAGGGTGACCCTCATGATCAGGAAGGCATGTTCTTGGGATACCCAGTGGCCAGAATTGCATCATTCGCTACTGTCAAAACAGGATGCTGTAAAGCCAGAAAAGGAATGATGAGAACAATCCCCCCTCCCGGACTCTTCTCTCCAAGGATTGTTTGACATTCTCCCTATTTGCTGTAATTATTTTTTTAATCCGTTAAATAACTCTTTGAAGGAAAAAAAACACATTATTATTACTAGTTGCCTCGCATCCTCCGCCTTCGCGATTGCAGGAAAAGCTGCCCCACTCCAGAAAAGGGGGGAAGGCACTCTGCAGGCGCTCCGAAGGACACTCTCTGAGTCCGGGGGCTGGGCGTGGGAAAGCGGGCCACCCTCGCCCCTCGCCGGCGTCTCCGCCTGCGCCCGATGTCCCTCGGGAGAGCGAGGGGCGCCCGAAGCGGCCGGGAGCGTCGCTCGGGGGCCGCGGCCGGCCCGATGGAGCCGCTCCGGGGGCCCCCGGAGGGGAGCAGCCGCCCGCCCGGGACGCCGATCCTCCCCGGCCCCGCCCGGGCCCCCTACCATGGTACAGATGGAGGCGAGTCTCCGGACCGTCATCAGCATTTCCATCCGCCCGACGAGCCGCGGCCCCGCGCCGGCGCCGCCGCCGCCAGCGCCATGTTGGGTCCCCGCCGCCCAACTGTCAGCGGCGCCGGAGCAGCAGCCGCAGGTGGCGCCACCGCCAAAGCGGTCCGGGCGCCGCCGCGCGCGCCGCCAACCAGCTCCGGCGCCCCTCGCGGCCGCGGAAGGAGCGTTCCGGCGGCGGCGGCGGCGGGGGAAGCACGCGCGCGCCCGCTCGCCGCCCGCCCGCCCGCCCGGCGCCCCTCGCAGGAGCCCGGTGGGGATCGGCCCCGACGCCTGCGCACGGCCCGTGCCGGGGAGCATGGGCTGGGAGGGCGCTGCTGCACCCTTCTGCTGCGAGGGGAGCGAGGGCGGCCGCCGGGCGGGGGGCCTTCGTGCGGCGGGGCAGGGAGGGGGCCGCGATCAGCCCCCGCGCCCCGGCGCTGCTGGCGATGAGTGCCGGCGCGCGTGCCGGAGGAGAGCGCGTGGGGATCGCTCTCTCCGTGGCTCGGGTGCGAGCGAGCGTTCTTGTGCCATTCCGTCGTGACTGGGTTTTATTTTCTTGCTGCTGGTGTTGCGTTTTTACAGCAGGCTTGTCACTGCTGAAAAGTGATGGGGGGGACAAGTAATGGGGAGGGTCCGCTGGGTTTGAATGGCCCGGCTTCCAAACAGGACTGCAGCCCTTGTCCGACTGCGGGCATGTGGGGCAGGGGAGGGGGCCCCCGCTGGTGTTCCCAGCAGCCTTTCGTCGTCATCGCAGCCCGTGTTGCCTTTGGCGGAGGCCGTGCAATGTGCTTTCGGTGGTGGTTTGCTTGGCACTCAGACAGCTGCAAGCACCCAAGGAGCTCCAAAAGTAACATTTTGCAATGCTCTGGCCTCAAAAGTCTCCATGTGGGTTTCATGCATGCGATAAAATTGCACCCGAATGCTGCTACTGTCTTTCGCGGACGGGAGCACAGGCAGATCTCTGCACATCAGGACGGCAAGGCCAGGGAGAAAGCGTTCCTCTGGGGGCTGACTCCGTGATGAGCCCCTCCCAAGGACACCCACCTTGGCAGGCACCTCCTGGACTTGCAGCTCCTCTCCCACTGTGAGAGGGTAGTACTTCTTGGATGAGTGGAGCCGAGGGGCAGACTAGATGGCCCGGGAGGCCCCTTCTGACTGTGCTTCTAGGATTGCCCGCCTGCCCCTCAGTCCTGCCCAAGCCACAGTTGTGGTGAGAAGAAGCTGCAGGACAGGCCCCAGCCTCCTTGCTCCTTGCTCCATGGCAAGGAAGAGGAGGGAAGCAAGAGCCGCTGGGGCAGGAGGGCAGGCTCACTGAGGGAGGGTGCAGAACACGTGGCCGGCTCTGGTGCGCCTCCTCTTAGCTGGGTGGTGGGCATGAAGCATGGGGCTTATTATTATTATTATTATTATTATTATTATTATTATTATTGCAGCATGGTGCAACATCTGCCAGAACCCATCACTGGAGGCCTTCAAGCGCGCCCTAAAACTCTTGGCCTATCATTGAGCTGGCGCTGTGCTCAGGGACTGCATCTTTGGTGCTTCCTTTGGCTAACTATTAATGTTCTGATGTAGCCTAGCTTTGTTGGTTGCTCTTCCTGCTGCTTTAGTACCTTGTGTGGTTCGCAGTTTTGTCTTGTTCTGCCTTGGGAGGGTCCCCCCAAAAGGTGGCTTATAGATCTGTTGCATAAGTAACAACCTGCTTTTTATATCTCATCCAAAGGACTGTTTCCAAACACATCTCCAGGGTATATTTTGGAGTAAAAACACAAAGCAGTTCTACTTTATATCAGTTGAGAAAAGGGAACTATGAAGACTCCCATTTCAGGGCATACCCAAATGGGAGGGCTCGTGGCCCCCCAACTTAGAGGTTTGGGGACATCCTGTGCAGAGTGGGAGGACAAAGGCTGTTTCCATGCTGCTTCCATTCTGCAAGGCGGCCGCACAGCCAGTTTTGGCCTGCTGGCTGCTCAGGAGGGAAGGAGGGCGAGGACCCACCAAGACACATTGCATCCCGGCAGGACTCGTCTCTTCCCTCCCTGTCCCTGGAATGCCCCCTCCCCCCCCAAGGTTGCTCTTACGACCTCAGCAAGACCGTTCTTCTGCATCAGCAGAGGTCGTGCGCTTGAGCACAGATGCCCGGATCCAAAGGCAGAGCTGTTTTCTGACTTCAGAGCTGGGAATCTGAAAAATCCGACGGCTCATTAGACACTGTTGAACAACCAAAGGTTTGCTCTGCTCACTTATTTCCGGTCAGGATTTTACCAAGTGTGCATCTTCCTGAGTGAGCACAGACACAAGTTTGTACATTTTGGAGCATGTGATTTGTGAGGACACACATGCCCCTCTTCAAAAAAAAAAAGAAAAAAAGATGCATTCAATAACATGCATACATTTAAGGTGTGTATTTCAAAATGAGTCCATGTCAAAATTCACACATATTTCAAAACATGTATGCAAGTGATGCATATATATGGCAAAACATGCAGAAGTGTGTGTGGATTTGTACATGGAAATGCTTCTGATATGCCTCGAACGAGAATGAACTTCGAGTTAGAATCTGGAAAACTTCTGTGAGCTCAGGTTTTGCTGATCTGCAGGCCAAGCATGCGCCGAATTGTGCTGGTGCGGCTCAGCTGCAGCTTTGCTAGGTTCTCCGTACAGCCCCTAGGAAAACACCAGGTGACTAGGATACAGTCCTGACATGTTCTGAGGTCAGAGCCGGGGCTGAGGCTTTGGAGCGTGCCTCTTCCGCCACCACAGCTGGTGCGGGGCTTTTTGTGCCAGCTGAACTTCTCAAATCGGAAGGTCAACTTCAGTGCCGTCCCTGATGGGGGGCACTCTGGCAGGTGAGGAGTGTGGCAGGGGACCCCGGAGGTGCTTCCAGTTCCTCACCTCATGAGCTGGTATAAAATACTTAAACCAACTCCTCCTGCCTTGCACTGGAGGCTTGTAGCCACCCAAGTTCAGAGAGTTCAAACAATGGCGACTTAGACGATGAAAACAAAGCAGCAGCAGCAGCATAAAACAACATGGTCCCCTGCTGGGGATAATAGGATCATCCTCTTGATTGTGGGTTTGTGCCATAAGTGGCATGTGAATAAATCTAGCCAGCCGAAGCCCACTGAAATCAGCCGCTTGTCTCGCAATAGACAAACTAGTTGTTTGCCACTTTTAGCGGCCCATTGCTCAAGTTAAACTGCTCTGCAGGTGGAAGGTGTGTTGGCGCTGGCTTCTGAGCAAAGCATCGGTCTGCTTTTGTAGCCCCTTGAAGTGCCATGTCGCATCGTAAGGACTAGTGAATTTATTCTAGCCAAAACTTCCATGAACCAGAGCTCATTGGACGGGGTGCTCGGATGAACAGGATTCTGCTCCACACAAGGGCATCATCATAATACAAAAAGTTAGATTGTAAGGTGCCATGAAACCATGTTTTTGTCATCCTCGAGAGGCATATGCTTACAACCAGGTAAAGGAAAGCGGCCACTTGTTTCCTAATTGAGACATGTAATTCTAAGCATCCAGGTCATAGTTATGATCTCATGTTGGTCCCACCAATTATTTGGGTAGAAAACCTTGGGGGTGGATGCTCTGGATGAAGGGTGAGGCCTTCCAGATGTTGCTGGTCGACACCTTTTCACCACCACTGCCATCTAGCCATGCTAGATGGGGCTGATAGTGGTTGCGATGCCACAACACCAGGGTGCGGACTCATTCAGCAAATGCAGGTCTGCTTTGAACAGAGGGAGGAAGAAGGATGGGTCAGGTCCCTCCCCAGGAGGGACTCTCTGTTGCAGCCATGTACCAAACTATCCATACATTTCAAGCAAGCAAGCAGGCAAGTTTCTGTTTACTGTTCCCGTTGCCAAAACTGACTCTCCGAATGGTCGCCTGATGAGAAGGCTCGGTCCTGGTCTCTCCCTGCCAATTCCTACTTGAAATGATTCATTACCCCGATGAATCACTAACTCTTTGCAGCCCTCTGGATGCCTCTCGCTGCACTTAACAGTGTGCGCTTCGCATTTTTAGCAGGAGCATGCAGCACGCGAGCAGGGGCCCTTGGAAGTGAGCGGCGGACATCAAAGCCAGCAACCTCTTCCTTCCCCTGAGCCTGGTTCTTGATATGATCTTCTGCCTGCTTCCAAGGTGCAGCCCGTAAAACAGGGAGCAAGCGGGAGGGGCAGAAAGGCAGCACATGAGTGCGGCTACGGGAGAGCCGGACTTTATGTCCCAACTCGAGGAATGTCATGTTTTGACTTCTGATTGGCTGAGGAATGCAGGAGTCAGTTTTCCCTGGAGCCGATTAGAAAGTTTCCCTCGGCCTGTCTGTGCAGAATCTGCAGGGGAAGGGGGCTGGCGGCGGCTCTGTTTTTGTTTCTCCTCCAAAATGCCGTTTCAATGAAACCGCCAGGAGGTTCCATTGTATGGAGATGTGAGGAAGGAGGGAAACAAGGCAGTCCCTTCTGTGCGCAGACTTCTTCCTCGCCCGTCGCAGCGGAGTGCACTGGGTCTCCCCAGTGGCATGTGCTTCACTGCCCGGAATACTATGTCACAGTACTCCACCAATTTCCTCCTGGTTCCCATCCCCGAATATCCCGTCCTGGACTGTGCACCCAACAAAATCATCAAGCTGGTCGTCCTGGGAGGCAGCGGCGTTGGCAAGACCGGTAAGTCCTGAGGGGTTGCCACAGAACATTTGTTCTTGTCTTCTCTCTCCCTCTTTTAAACGTTCCCTGGCAAGCAGATGGGGTTTTGTGTTAACCTTTGATAGAAACCATGATCCAAGAGCATGCTTATCTTTCAGGACATAAAGGTTGATGGGGTTTTTTTCATTGCCAGAATGAAATCAAAGGTCTGGTGGGGCTTTAGTAGTTGAATCAGGAAACAGTGAGCATGAGGAAGGGCTTGCATCCACCTGGAATAATGGGGTTTGTTCTGGGGTTCAGGGTGGGGCTCCTCGGAAACTGATTGAGGGCTGATCACTGAGATCGGTAGCAGCAGGCAAGCTGGCCCACCCGCACCAGTTTCTCCAGGCAGGATGAAGCGGAGGAAGAAGCAGCTTGGATGTGTTCCCAATTGCTCGCTGTTCACGTGGGGGCCAAGACCCAGCTGGCCCGGCCAGTGCTCCACAGGCATGTGGCCAGGCACTTAAGAGAGTTGGGGGCAAGCCTGTTGGACATCCCCTCGTATCAGCTAATTTGTATCTATGCATGCGGATTTAGAGATAATTACCAGCGTTCATTTACATTGCAGAAGAGCAAGGCTTGCCAATCCATTTCTCATCCAAATAATCTCCAGTAAACCGAATGATTCAATTAATTTGCATCCTGGCCAGGACCATCCTCAACCTGTGGGATTTCCCTCACTTCATATGCTTAATGGGCATAAGGGGGAAATGAGGGAGGTGAGAGGAAGCAGGGAGGGGAGAGTTAACCCTTGCAATTCCCCCTTCCTGCAAGGCAAGTCTTCTTGGAACAGACTTTGAATTGGCATGAATGGACATTCAGGGCTCTGCGGAACAGACCTGGGGCCCAGCTCTGACAATGCCCTTGTTCTGCATGAACTGGATCTGCGAAGGACAGCTCAGCATGCAGAGCTCCGGGTTGCATTCTGTGCTCCTCACCCAGCACTTTCCGATCCAACTAGCCCCGGCTTTCCACACTCTTTGGAAAGTGCCTCTCACCTCCTGCCTCTTTGACCTGGAAATGCCAGGAATCTTCTCGGAGCACTTCTGTGCCTCATGCATGTGCTCCTCCCCCTGAGCGCTGGTCCTTCCTCGAAGATGCTGCCTTCCTGCTCTGCTCGCCCGGCAAAGCAGGACCGACAGCTTTCTGCCTCGCGAGCCGCAGTGCCAGCCTGCCTGCGAACCAGCCAACGAGCCCTTGGAAGTGCCCTGGGATCCTCCACCGAACGTGCAGCTGAGGGGTGCTGAGCCCTGCTGGAAAGGGACTGGGCAGCACCGGGCACCCGGATGCCGTTTCTGGAGGGTGGGTTGTCCCTCAGGAGAGAGGTGAGTGCGGAAGGCACCCTCAGGAGGGCCTTGGGCTTAGACCCTGGGGAGTGAGCCCCGTCTGCTCTGCCAGGCAAGCTCTGCAGGAGGGGAGCAGATGATGGAAAGTGCCCGCCAACCATCTCCGATGCCAGACCCAAGTCGCAGAGGCCCCCGGCAGGAGACCCCCCAGGGGCTGCTCCCCCAGGGAGTCTCCTTCATCCTCCTGCTGTCACCAGCGGCTCGTGTGGCTTCTCCTCTTTTCCATCATGGCTGCCCTTGGCTTGCTGGCTGGGGAGGAGGCCGCTGGGCAGGTCGGCAGCCGCATCTCTCCTTCCCCCCCCCTCCCCCTCCCCCTCCCCACCACCATTTTGTGGGGACAGCTGCACTGCCATGGGGAAGGGGCGGAGCGAGGCCAGGAGGCCCTCCTCAGCGCTCCCTGCCAGAGCGGGGGCACCTGCAGGTACCCAGCCGTGGCTACCCCGGACAGCGGCCTGCTCACGTCCAGCCAGGGCTGGAGCAGCCGGGGGCGGGGGCCTTCGCCAACCCCAGTGGCCCAGTCTTTCATGACCGCACACTCTCCGTGCGGCTGCTCGGCTGCATCTTCATGAAGTTCTGGAAGGCAGGATAGAAGGGATTCATTCTTTCGCCCCTATCAGCTGATAGTCTCCTTCCAGCAGCTCTGTCAAGTAGGGTTCCAGTGTTTGCCAACATTGCATGAAAAGTGTCTTCTGGCTCTGATGTTAAAAATATAATTATACCCTGAATCTGCCATACCTTTGTACACTTCTTCCAATCCACCCGTGATTCGAGAGTGTACGCATTTCATGTGCTGTTCCTTGCTTAGGTTAAAGTTCCTACAGGCCCTTGTACTGGAATGAATAAAGTTGCAATATCACTGCTTCTGGTGAATCCATATTGCTGGGTATCTGAAGTAACAAGTGAGACTTGCAGTTCCAGGATCCTTCCTCTTCCTCTCCTCCTTCCCTCCCGCCTCTCTTTCCTTTGCTCTTCCCTCGTCGCTCCCACAGCTGCATTTCTGAGTAGGGTTCCGCTTCTCCTCTGACTCTGCAAGTTGGACCACGCTAGAGCCATCCTGGCCGTTCCCTATCCCGGAGAAAAACCACAAGAAAAGCCAAACCAGAGGAAAGCATTTCCTGTGTTTGTGTATGCACTTCCAATTTGAAACAACAAAACCAAACACAAAGCAAAGGAGGCCTTTTCGGTCATTGCTTTGCAGAGCTTGCCTCACTGAGAATTTCTCAAACCTTATCAAGACTGGCTCCCAGTACCCCGTCTCTCCGCTTGTTACAAAACCAGGAGGGAGGAATTCTATTCCCTGGGAACCCTCATAAAGACGGGGTTCACCAGGAGGAACGGCTATCCCCCTTCGCAGTGTCATGACACAAGTCCACTGAGGGACCCTGGAATGCAATCGGAAACCACCAAGGGTGAGATTGCACATTCACAAATGCACACTCGCTAAGGTCACATAAACATGAATGTGTGTGAAGCAGCCCACTTCCCATGACCTGTGACTGTCTGATTCAGCCCCCCCCCCTTCCTGAGTCTCGTTTTTCCCAGCCAGAATTTACCTCTTGGGGTCTTGGGAGTCAGGCTGGGGTGGTCGGGGGAATCCTGGCTAAAAGGATGAGGCAGAGAATCAGAGAAAAGCAAAGGGGTTGAGGATTTTCTTGGACCTGTCCGATTCCTTCCTTGCTCACAGCCAGTGCCGGGGAACCCCGTCCTTAAGCGGGAGCATCGAGACGGCTGCCTTGGAAAGCTTCCCAGAAAGCAGAGTATCTGTGCAGGCCTTTTCTGCCGCCCAGCAGTAAACTTTAAATATGAAGTGAGTGTATGTATCCCATGGCTCATTTCCTCAAAACAATCGCCTGGGCGAAAAGGCGCTGTGGGAAGACATTCCATTTCATAGAAGAAAGAGAGCATTTTTCAGCTGATAACTTTTTCTCAGCCCTCCTAAGATGTGAGAGAGACCGGTGGAAGAAAGGGAGGGAAAAACAGCGGGAGGAGAGTACATTTGAGTCTTGTCTGACAGACTCGGTTATAATGAGGAAGCAGTTTTAAATGAGGCATCTCTGACTGTGATCTTAGGCACCTGGGAGAGAGTGCCGTGGCGCATAGCAGGACTTCATTCTGAGCAGATGTGGAGGGGAGAGGAGCAGGAAGAGTGCTGACCTTAAATCTAAACAGTTTGGATTAGGGTTGCTTGGGAGCTGAATTTGCAGAGTCCTCCTCTGGGTTAATGCATCCGTTTTATGCTTCTTGTGAAGGAAATGTAGGCGCAGACACACTTTCAAACCCCAAGGGGAGCCAGGTTCAACTTTAGGTGCAATCCTAGGTCCATGGAGACAGAAAAGGGGCCTTCGACTCCCAGCTGCGCTGGCTGGGAGCACTGAGAGTTGCGGGCCATTTCTCTGCCTCAGCAAGCATGAAAGTGGGTCCTTCTTGCAGCCCATGGACTCCCAGAAAACCTCAGAGGAGGGCAGAGCGCCATGAACCTCCGAGGGGGACTTGTGACCATTCGTTACAGATTTGTCAGCCATGCTGTGACACTCACGCCATTTCCTTGGCATGCCGTGGACTTGTATTGGTTTGGGCTAGACTTGAAGACCTGGGAGTTTTTTTGCGCCGATAATTGAAATCCTGAATATTTTGGCTATTGGTGTCGAATGCCTTCTAGACCTCTGGATGGTGAGGAATGATTTGACAGGGTAACAGCGTAATCAGCACAATGCTCACAGAACAATCAACAATCGCATGAATTCTTATTGTAGCCACACGTGCGTTGTTAGTTGGGTCATAACTCCCATGTCCTGCCCAGTCCGCGCAACCTGGGGATGATGGAGTTGAAGTCCAACACCTCTGGAGGGTGCCTGCTTGGGAAAGGCTGCCTAACTTTTCCAGAGAAATTGCCCCTCATTGCAGAAGAATTTATCACCAGCTCCTACCATTGATTAAACATCTGCGGTATCGTGACTGGAAACGGTGTCTTTAAATGCCACCCTCGACAGCAAGCAGGGGGAAAGCGTCCTTTCCTGACTCTGATTAAATGCCTTTTTGTTCTTGCTCTTTTGCAGCCCTCATTGTGCGCTTTCTCACAAAGAGATTTATCGGAGACTACGAGGCCAACACTGGTATGTCTAGTTGGTAACACTGCCTGGCAGGTTCCCGCTCAGTGCTTCTTATTCCGGATTAAGACCTAGAATGAAGGGAGAGGGGTGGTCTTGTGCAGGTAGCCCAAATATTCAGGATAGGTCAGGAGGCATTAGGGTGACTTGTCCCTGCACTGCACCATTACGGAAAGTTGGAAAGAGGAGATTGGAAATAATAATTCGGCGTGTGGCTTGGTTTATGGCAAAGGTCATTTGGTCAGAGGGCTTGGAGGTGCTCTCAGTTTGAACATGTGCAGGCATACACACCGAGACAGCTAGGACGTCTTCCTATATTTGCAAAGCTGGTCCTCTTTTCATCCAGTGCTGTGGGCTGCAGGCAAGAGAGACGCTAGTCAAGAATCTAAAGGTGCATATTTTCAGCAAATTGCCTCCAGCTATGAAAAAAGCACAATCAAACAGAGCCCCATTATTTACGATCGTTCTCTCCTTCCTTCCTTCCTTCCTTCCTTCCTTCCTTCCTTCCTTCCTTCCCACCCGCCCGTTTTTTAGCCAATATTAAATCCACTCTGATGAAAAAGGATCAGAGGGATGATGTGGCTGACACAGCTCGGGTGAAAAACAGCAACCAGGATGAAAGAATATTTACTTGCAGCAAGCGAGCAAAGGGGTGTGAGAAGCCCCGGCCTGCCCCACACGCCCCGCTCCAGACTCCCAATTCCCACCAACGAAATGGGCTGCCTCTTACGAAGGTCAGGCCAAGCAACAGACTTGGTTGTTTTTCGTGGGGCTAAAAGCTGAAGTGAAACCCGCTGCCAACTGGCCAGCAGCAAGATAGTCCAAAGTGCTGCCTAACAATAGCTTGGCACACCGAAATCAGTAGATGAAACTTGTTCCAGTGGTTTAATTTGTAGGCATTCATAGGTCATCATGCTGAAGCCATTGATTCCGATCCAGGAGCAAAGTCCACTCAAACTGTTGGCGACTGGAGGGGTCTCTTTTGTCCAGTACTAATTCTTTAGAAACACCTGAGGCCAGATTCTCATTTTGTAATGCAGGAGAGGAATCGTGAGCTGGCTTTCCTTTTTCCTTATGCTTCCTGAATAGTCCGTATTTCTTCCAAATGCGCCTCTGGGCAGGACATCGATGAGGCTCCGTGTTCTCTTGGAGTACCTTCCTTTTCAGTCATTCATCACGATGTGGTAAACCCGAAAACATGCAATATGGGGCACAGCTGGAAGAAACCCTTGCTCCACAGAAATGGCCCTGTGGCCACTCAGTCATCTGTTTTGATTTGATTTCTGCTCCTGCGTCTTGTAAACTTACTGCTCTCTGTCGTCATTCTCCCTTGCTTTATCAGTTGATGCTGTTTGGGTTCTGTTACATTTTACTGTACGATCCTATACACAGAATTTTTGCCAGAAGGGTACACAGACATTCCCTAGGCCAAGCTCCATGCAAGGAGGTACAGGATTGGAACTGCTTTACCCCCTGAACTTCCGCCCGCCTTGCTCTCTGTTGCCACCACTGTATTAAAAGCACTGGCGATCTGATGGTAGACTTTAAAAACCTGCAGCAGAGCGAGTCCCAACCAGGAGTCCTTGGTCTTCTCTGCTCCTTCTGTGATTAATGATAAACTTGCAGCGGCATCTCAGGGTCCCTTCCACTGATCACAGGGCATGGCTGGGCTTCTCCGTAGCCACCTTTGCTCCGAAGCGGCTGGATCTTTCGCCGACGGCTCCTTCGCACGTGTGCACGGCTCCTTGGCACTCGTTTCCGCGTGCTGGCTCCGCGTAGGGGTGGATCATACGAAAAAAGAGCCAGGGATTTGCTGCGAGAGAAGGAGCACAGAGAACGGCATGTTTTTCCCATTAAGCAGCCAACCCTTCAGAAATCCTGGAGGCAGAGACAAATATGCTATAGATAGAAAACAGGTGGTCATCTGGGGCTGCCTGCATAGGCAAGCGCTGCTCGGGCCGTGGGGGGACAGGGCCAAACATGATTAGTCTTTGCAAGGCCTGGAAATCTCCTTTTGATGTGTTAGAGAAGAGAAACAGTTTGCTGTCTGGTTGCATTACATGGTGCGAGCTTTCTGCCAAGCACGTATTTCCGCTCTGCGTGCACCGCCGTCCCCAGCTTGCTTGGGCAGCCCCAAGGGGTACAGCCAGGGGTCAGGGGTACAGTGCCTCCGCTGCATGGGAAACGTTCCAAGTTCAACCAGCCCCATCTCCAGGTGGGGCTGGGAAAGACCCCGGCCTGAAATATCCCGGCTGGGAAGGCTGTTCTACACCACGGGCTTCTCCTTGGTTAGCACAAAGCGACTTCCAGCTAGAAAGTTAGAAACAGGAACAAGACCTTGGACTGAATGAGCTGGAGACATGAAAAGACGTTCTTGTCCCAAGAGGCAGGTCACTGGCCAGAGCGGAATCCCATTCCCAGTGTGACTGGGCGGAAACTTCCTCTCCCGCTCCATGGCAGGTGTGAATCTAAAAACGTCTTTCCCAGCCTCTGTTTCTGAATCATGATGGCTGGAGTTACCAGGGGCTTAGCCGTCTCTGCAGAGCAGGTGAGGCTTCCCCTGTTGCCAGGGCAGGGTCCCAGCTCCTCCATTTCTGCCCATCGGGCTGCAGTCAGTGGGGCGGCAGCAGGGCGTGAGTAAGATAAAGACCAAGTTGGGAGCTTTGGGAATGGCCCAGAGGAGGGCTTACCACCCGGACAGGGTGTAGGAGGGAGGAGGAGACATTCATGGGAACGGAGGAGGAGGCCGCCAATGGCTCCTTGTCCCGATGGCTATGGCCTTGCCCCAGAACCAGGGGCATTCAGGGCCAACCGACAGTGAGGCAGAGCAAGGCAGCTGCGTCAGGCAGCGGAAGACGGACCAGCTGCCCCTTGCCTCCCCGTCCCTTGGAGGGCACTGCCCCCATGGCTCGCACCTGCTCTAGCAGAACCATGCACACCTAGCGCCTGCGGCCCCAGCCAGCGTTAGAAGCGGGGAAGCACATCGGCTGCATGCTGCTCTTCGGTGTGCTCATTGCCTCTTTTTCCTCCCGCAGGCGCTCTGTATTCCAGAAAACTCACCATCGATGGAGAGCAGATCTCCCTTCAAGTGCAGGACACGCCCTTCGTTTCGCTGGAGGTAGAAAGGCTGCTTCGGTGGCGTGGTGCTCCTGGACACGGGTTTATCCAGAGAGCCAGAGTGGCGTCATGGGGATAGTGCTGGGCCGGGAGGCCAAGGACCTGGTTCGCGTCCACCGCTGGCCATCAAGCGCACTGGGCAACTTTGGACCAGTCAGACTCTCAGCCTGACCTGCCTCACTGGGCTGTTGTGAGGATCAGATGGCGAGGGTTCCTGGGTTCCTTGCAAGTGGGACAGACACCACCCTTCCCCACTTTGGTGCCCTCTGCTGGCCGCATGGTCTGGGGATTCTTTTAGGGAACTTCTATGCCACCCCATTTGCCGAAGCCTCGGGGCGGCTCACGAACATAAATAAATAACATCCTATAAAACAATATAATTTAACAGTATAAATGATGGGAGTTTCTCACTTCTATACAGGACAGCAATCAAAAAAGAAACACACATGTGCATAGATAGACCCAACCACCCCATCTCTGAGAGCAAATGAGTCCCATCCGTAATTCTTACAGCGCACCCCAGATTATCTGGCCAAAGGCAACAGTGGGACAACTTACCTCACCCCAAAATGAGGGCTGGGGGTGCTTGCTGAAGTACCAGTCGGGCACGTTGGCCCTCGGGGCACTTTTTAAAGGCAGAGATCATTGCTGCAGGATTACTGCTTCGTGAAGATAGCATAAGGCCTGTCTGATGGGGAAATGCCACTGACCATCTGCAGAGTACATTTTCTGGGATACTGAATATGTGGGGCCACAGTCCACCTGTCAAGGATTAGGAGAACCGTCTTCCCGGCAGATTTGAGGCTCAGCACTTGAATTTTACAGACTCAGTATGGGCAGCAGCATCTTTGCCTCACTCCATTTTTAGCTCTGTTGCCAATGATAATCTCCAGTCGTGTTTTAAAGGAGAAAACCACAAGCCTTCCTTAGGTGTGACATTTATCTGCAATTCCCCATTCATGGCAGTTTTTGGGTGCTGCAGATGGCAGCGTTGTGGTGCTTTTCAAGCATTTCTGTTAGCTTGCTTGCTTGCTCGCTCGCTTTCATCTTTTCATCCTTTCTTCCTCCTCACCCCCTTTTTGGAAAGGGGAAAGGCTGGGATTATATGAAAGTGGTGGAATGAACCAGAATGAAAACCCACATGTTTTCACAATTCCACTACAGCCCAGCCCCACCTTTTCCTGTAGCAGAACTTACAGAAAGGCAGAAAAAAGAAAACATCCTGGGGCAAAAAGACATGAATAAAGGAGTCACTCTCAGTCCTGCAATGAATTGGGAAGCAGGAGCCGCAGCGAGGCGGTGGGTTAAAAACCTCGTGCTTCAGAAGCAAATGGTTCTGATGAGAGACACAGCAGGAGAAACCCGTGCAAATCATAGCAAAGTTTTGTACAAATTTCTCTGCCCAGGTCAATCCACCAGATTTTAATCCCCGCAAATGGACTCCTGGCACAAACCTGGTTGAATCCAGTTAATTTAGTTTATGCCCTGTTCATTTCAGTGGGTCTGCTTTAATTCGGAAGAATTTTGGATACAACTCTCTGTTTCCAGTCCAAGTGATATGCAATTTTGTTTGGCTCCAGACTGGTAGAGTTTTTGCGGACAAAGATAGAGATGCCCATGGTAACAGCTGTGCTTTTTTTATGGTGTGAAGTTCCAGAGAATCACTCAGTGGCTGAATGTTGCCTGAAATGATATTCTTGAAAGAGAAAGCCAAAAGCAAGGAGATAAGGAGGTTGGAAGCCAATGAGCTGCTGCCCAAAACTGCAGTGTCTGTAACATTTCTGTGTGTGATTAAAATGAACTGATGAGCAAGACATCTCCGTTTTTGTTCTCTGAGCAGCCTCGCTTGTGCTTTGCCTTTCACCCTGTGCCTTTCCCTCCTGACTCTCAAGTCCATTTCATTCTTGCCTGAGATGCAATGCAGCAATCTCGTCATTGCAGTCACTTGGCGCTATTCTTTGCGTTTTGCTGTCAGTCTTTGGCACAATGGTATTTTTTATTTGATTACTTAGAATACTGCTCTGCCTCTTCATACCATAACACCTCTGAGTGCATCACAAATGCAGCTGGGGCTGGTCACTAGAGTCACTAGGGGCGCTTCTGGAAGGGGATTTCTCTTAGAGCAGCATTCAGTGTCTTCCAGATGTGGGGGTGGCTGTCCAACCCATCTGGACGGCACCAAGTCGGGAGAGGCTGCAGTAGAGCCAGGCTTCTCTGCATTCGAGGTGGTTTCCTGCTTCTAAAAAATAACGGCCTCCTGGCTACCTAACCCCACCTCCCACAACTCCTTCGCCATGCGCAGAGGCATGAATCGATAAGACATGCTCCTCTGTGCGTGGAGGGAAGGATGGTCTTTCTCTGCGCAATGCCGGAGAAAAGCTGTCTTTCTCAAGACCTGAACAAGGGCTCTTCTCTCCGGTCTTCTCTGCTCTTCTCTCCAGTCGTACCTGATCAGAGATGAGCCTCGGTTTTTCCCTCTCGGTGCTAGGGAAATTAGCCTTTCTGTCCTGCTGAGCACTGGGGGTGGCCTGGGAGAGGGGAAGGGGTCTTGGACAGGGGCCAGTGGAGAAACGGCCTTCCCCACCCCCCAGCTCAGAACTGGGCCATAGACTGGAGGTTCCCCTCCCTGATCTAGAGAAAGCCGGGACAATATGGTGCTAGGGCCAAGCTTTATAATGGAAACACCCCCGTCTTTTCTAGAAAGGAAACTCATCCTTTTCCCTCTGGGGCTTTGATGGCAGGACGAGAATGAGGTGATCTGCTGCCAGGAGCAGATAAACCGCTCCATCTACTGGGCAGACGGCTTCGTCTTCGTCTACTCCATCACAGACTACGAGAGCTACCGCGTCATCCGGCCCTTGCACCAGCACATCCGGAAGATCCACCCCAACGCCAACATCCCGCTGCTGCTCATGGCCAACAAGGGGGACCTGCTCCGAGCCCGCCAGGTGTCCACCAAAGACGGCTGCCAGCTGGCCAGCGAGCTGGGCTGCACGTACTCCGAAGTGTCTGCCCGGGAGAACTGTGACGGTGTCCGCGAGGCCTTCACGCAGCTGTGCCAGGAGATGAGCCGGATGATAGCCGGCTGCAATGGGGAGAAGCGCAGGGGGCTCCACCTGGTCCGCCCCAAATCCCCCAACATGCAGGATTTGAAACGGAGGCTCAAGCAAGCCCTGTCTTCGAAAGGAAAAGCGGCCACGATGCTCTGATGGAGCTGGGGAAGACAACGCGGACAACTGATATAATTTATACCTAGGTATGGCCTTCCTTTGCCAGCAACCTTTTTGGGTGAAAGAATTCCATTCTGAAAAGGAGGCCATGACCAGTTCTGGATCCTGGACCTTTTGGTTTTAAAAAGATCACTGAGAATGAAGATGGGCACATGAAGAGAAAAAGAGAAACTTGAAAGGGGACAAGGTTCATCCACAGCATAAGCTCAGTTTCCTAACCAGCATGAAGACAGACATTCTTACCAGCAAATCAAACGCTGGTTCAGCTGTCTGTCTTCCTTATTTTCCATGTTTCAGGCAAGCTTTCTAGATTCCCCCTGCCTCTAATTTTTAAGCACCCGATATTCATGTTTACAATTGTATTTTGCCTTGCTATGAAAAATAAACATCAGGAGAGACTTTCAAACACGGTTGCAAACCAGCCCTGGAAGCAGGAGTCGTGGAGGTGGACTTCACAGGCTCCAAATGAGATGGAGCTTTCCCAGGTGTCTCTTCTCCATTTGAGCTTCACCGCTCAGAAAAGCTGCACCGCTGGCTTTTGGAAGAGCTTGCCTTGAAACAGAAAAATACGGAAGCTTGCCCTGGCTTTCCTTGCATTGGTATGTCTGAGTAAGTCGTCTAATTTGATCTCGGACAGCACTAACGTTTGGAATGAATGAGTCATTCTGCAGCAAGGACTAACTTGAAAGGGCACTGTGAGCCAGATCTTTATATTGCATGCAAGGCTATAAGGGTCGTAACCCAGCGGAGAGCTGAGCATCCCCGAGCCCACTGAAGCTGGCGGGCTCAGGCCGTCATTGCCTCTGTCTCGGATTGTGGCCGTTCTGTGTCCATGGAATGTATATTTGCGGGACCATCTGCCAGTAGCCACCGCCAGGGGGTCGCTGGCCGTGTGAACTAGCCATTAAATCAGGGTAGCTTTTGCAAAATGTGGCTAATTTTAAAAGCCGTCTGCTGACATCTCTGACCCTTAGCCAGCTTCGTGGGAAGGAAGTCAGACAGGCAGGGAATGGGAAACTGCAGGTGCGGGGGGGGGGGGGGGCAGAAAGAGAAAAAGGCCAAGCCACACACACTTGCTCTGGTTTATTTGCTGCTGGCTTCAGCCCTGCCTACTGCCAACCCGGGACCCTAGAGAGATCGCCTATGAGAATGTGGCCTCGGGCAGAAAGAAGGCTGCCCACCCCTGGATTATCTGGAGGAGGCCATAGGCATAATTTTCAAGATGGCGGATGCTTGAAATATGTACAGCTTATTATATTGTTCCAAGTCATGGAGAACTGCTTGGTCCTTTTGAAGTGAAGCGCTGACTCAAAATTTCCCTGAAAATGATGTTTCTGAGGATGTTCTCTTCACTGCCACCCCAAAGAGAACTCAGTATGTGTGGGATCTTCTGCCCTATTTCTCTTTATAGGGGAGGATTCGGAACTGGTGTGCATGGAGCCAACACAAGAACTCTGCTGTTACTACCATTTCTGGTGCTACCACCAAAAAGTCCCACACCCGTGAGAGAAAAAGGAAGAAGTCACACACTCCTTCCTAATTTTCACTGCCTGAGAATTAGATGAAGGTTCTCAGGATGTCATTTCTGCAGACAGATAAGGGGCCAAAAAGAATAACTTCTGCTCGTGTTAACGAGATGCAAACCAGGTCCACAGATTACTTTAGCAAAGGAAAACAAGCACAAAAATCAAAATCAATGTGAGGTTTGCTTGCTCTGCCGTCACAAATTTGAACCTCTCAGACATACTGCTCTGTTTACACGAAGGCCGTGAGGATTACAATCTTACTGTGGACTTAGTTAAAATAGAAAGCCTGGAATCTCAGAGATCTAGCAAAAAACTTGGGTCATTCAAAAGTCCAGCTAAAAAACCACACATTCCACACTTTATGAATTAGTAACCAAACAATATGTCAATGCACCCAAAGCATCATTTGATGAAAAACGCTAAACCAGTGGGAGAGCAAGGCTACAATTCTGTACATAGTTACCCAGGAGCAAGTCATATTAAGGTCAAGGGGACTTACTTCTGAGTAGGTCCATCTAGTTAGCACTATTACTCCTACATGATGTATTAGAGATCAGCAGTGAGTCTGACATGTGAATATGTGCTGAGGGTTAGCACCTTTGATTTTGGGCCATCCTAGATTTTTTTGGAAACAAAACTGTACAATGCCTGCACCAGCTCCATAGGGCAAATGCAGGTCAAGTCAGCTGTGGCTAATTTGCTTTCCAAGGACCCTAACGAGCTGCTCTGTCTCGAAGCTGCAGTCCCTCTTTGCTCAATGCCATCCTTTTTGGGAGAAGGAAAGCCACCCCCCTTCTTTCTGGGGCTTTTTCCATTCAAAGCATTCCCAAAATGATCGTGTATCTAGAAACAATTCTCTAACTGTTTAGTTCCTATGGCAACACGCACCTAACCAAATAATGCATCAGGCTAGAACTGGCCAGCAGGTCTGACCCAGCTGAAGCCTTTCTTTTGGGCCATTAACCTGCTCCTGCCTGTTCGCACGCAGTGATGCATTAGCTGAGCTTTCCAAAATGGTCCATGAGTCCATTTTAGGAGCAGCTGGATGCACTTATGAAGAATAGGCCCATCAAGAGCTATTTGTGGACTCAATCCTGTGTCAGCAGTGGGATTGAAGGAATACAACCCCTCAACAGCCCTTCAGCCCAAGAGGCTATGCATCAGGAAATGCATTCGCAACCTCGCCTGGCTGATGACCTGGGAGAGAGGCCTGCTCATCTGTGACCAGGGACCAAGGGCAGAATAAACAGAACATCAACCTGAGCCAGCGAAATGGTTGTTCTGAATTGCCGCTGCTGGAAAAACATGCGGGGGGGCGGGGATGGCATTGACATAACCAGCGTGAGCGTTCCCACAAGCAAAGTGATCCCCGTGATGCAGGGGAACAGCTGCCCATGCTGGGAGAGGCCAAGTCTGCAGGCCCAGGGACTCGGAATTTCGGGAAGGTGTGGCCTGAGGGACTTCAGGGTGCACTGGTCTCTCTGGGAAAGAATCTGGGCTGCAGGCAGGGACACACTTTCCGGGGTGTAAGCAGGACTGAACTTGGGGGGCGGGGGGAAGGGAAAGCAGCTGTGGGGAGATGTGGGGCTGCCATCCACAGGCAGCAGTGGCTGGACTTCAGACTTGGCAGATGCTCAGTCTCCTGGTCACAGTCTGCCCCACTACAGTGAAACGCACTAAAATTCTATTCGAATTATAGTTATTGTTTCTACACTTGCAAATATAAATTAGCAAATGCAGAGGTATGACAGCGATGAGGACTGTGCCTTTTTTTCCTTTCAAGGAACTCAGCGTGGCTTGCCTCATTCTCCTCCTCCTCTCAATGTTATCCTTACAACAACCCTGTGAGGTAGGTTGGGCTGAGGGGCAGGGACTGGCTGCACTGTGCTTAGAAGTGCACAGGTAGCCAACGCGAGTGGGGTGGGTTTGGGGTTCCATGTTCAGACCTTCTGGTCCCAGTTAGTATTATGCGGCTGCCGCATTCGACAGCAGCTGCAGCTTCCGAACTGTCTCCAAGGGCAGCCCCATGTAGAGGGCATTGCCGTAGTCTATTTCAGAGATTGCCAGAGCACAGACGCCAGGCTCTCCCTGCCCAGGTGGGGTGCAGCTGGTGGAAGGCTCTCCAAGCCACCGTTGCCACCGGAGCCTCAAGTGACCAAGGTGAATCAAGGAGCGCCCCCAAGCTGAGCCTGCTCCCTGGGGGAAGTGCAGTGCCCCCCAGGACAGGCTGAACACCCCCCATCTGGTCAGAAGAAGCAACCACCAGCGGCATCTCCGTCTTGTCTGGGTGGAGCTTCCATTTGTTCGCCCGCAACCAGTCCGTGCAGTCAGGCACGGGATGGCTGCGTCCACAGCCTCCCCTGCTGGGGCTCAGCAGAGGCTGGCAGCTGATTGCAAAAGGGAGGTGTCAGTTCCTCAGATGGGATCATACCATCTGGCTGAGTGGGCTGTTCCAGACTGATCCTAAAAGTGACAATAAAAATAAATCCAATGCAAATATTCAAAATAATACAATGGGATGCCATCCCAACTGCAGCCATGATGACCTGGTGCTAGGTCTCTGAATGCATGCTCTGCAGAGGGTTAATTTGGAGAGAGGAAAGTCTGGTATTAAATCTTAAAGCGCAACAGACCAGATCAAGAGCCTTCTCAGATGTTGCAAATGCTCTGCGGGTCCATGGAACCACTGCGCCATCTTGTGGCTGGCTACTAGAAAGGCAGAGAAAGGCAAACCCTTGCGGGGGAAAAACCATGGGACGGATGCATTTTTGACTCCTACAATGGAAATGCAGGAAGCAGAATAAACTTCTCGTGTAGAGAAGCTCATAGACTCTCTGCTCTCTGCCTACCAGCAAGTTAGGAAAAGAGACCTTCCATGAGTAGTGCCACTCCTCTTGCAGAGAACAAAGCCTGAATCGAACCCAGTGTATGTTTACAAGTGTATGCATGCAATTTGTATCTGTTCCAAGTCCTTGTACTGAGGCTTGGGGATATTGGGAAAAATTGCTTGGAGCAATTCAAATCCAATGGTTATTCATGCCGAGGCATGGATGAGGAGTTAATAATTTAAATGGAATTGAAAGTTTATCCAAGTTCACTGTGATTCATCAGCAATTAAACTTCAGTTCTATCACTTCCTGCTAAGCACAACTCGCCCTTGCCTTTAAAACAAACAAACAAATATCCCAATGAAGACTTAAACACACCATAACCTTTACAATGCATAATCCAGAAGTGATTTTTCTATGTAAACTTGCAGCTCCTTGTGGCTCTCATTCATCTCCATGGAGCTGAAGGAAGCATCTTTGCTAAGACTGACTTGGTGTATGGATTTAAAATTCCACAACAAATGCCATTCCCAGGCCTGACTGGAGATGCTGGACACTGAGCAGGGACCTTCTGTATGGGGAGTTAGGGCTCGGGCATTGAGGCACAGTTCCCCGTGAAAAAGTCTGTGTCCTGCAACTGACTTCTGTTTTGTGTACTGAATAAATTCCCATGATCTTCCCAGATTCTCTGGCCAATCTGGGATCATGAGAAAGCGATTCCCAGTGGGTGTGCTTTGATTTAGCCAAATCCTGACCTTAATCAGGAAGCTGTAGATAGATGTGGTAGATATCCAAATAGAAGTGAGAGTCCTCCAAAGCAGAACCAAAGCAGATCTGAATACCCCTGAAGATTCGGGATTCACAGGGACCCAGAGACACTGAAAGTGATGCAGTTCACACGGTCCCCAATGGCTGAGCGAGTCACTGTGGCTTGTTTAATCCACGACTCGTCTTGGTGGACGCAAGGCATGAGCTGTTGAATCACCTGCACGGGGACAGCCAGTGCCACCCAAACCCAGGCAGAGAACTCCTCGCGGGGGAAGCAACCCCATCTTTCCCTCTGGAACAGGCCCTGCCCCTGGAGTTCAGACAATGCAGCGAGCTATTCTCAAGAGGGTACCAAGGCAAATCCGCACACACACAGGATTAGGCAAGCCACGGTGCGACCCAGTCCTGTGTGTCCCCAGAAGCTGAGACGTTTCTCCCCAAGCTGCCCATATAAGGGAAACATCGGGGTGCGCAGAGCGGACGGAGCCTGGCAGTGCTTACTTCCAAGCCCATGCATGGCTCTCCGAGCCCAGCGCTTTGGGGAGGGATGCCGAGGGAAGAGGTCACGCGGCCGATCCAGGGCACAGCGTTTTCGCTCGTTCTCCTCCCGGGAGCAATTAAGACTCTGCAGGGCCTGGAAGCGTGCATTGGGTGCTTGTATGGAGAACGCTGGGTGCCTGAGCACAGGCAGAGCATGGTGCATGCACCCACAAGGACACATTGGGCCAGACGCATGGGCCATACCTCTGGCGAGCTGAATCACTCAGAGCTGCAGAAGGCAGATTCTTTTGTGGGTTGGCTCTCCTGGGCCAATAGGAGAAACCGTTCACGGATCCCTTGCATGCAGCACAGGAACTGCTGGGAGCTCACGGACACTAATGCACGTTCTCAGCAAAGGGCAGCCCTGCTTCTCCCCACGCAAGCGAGTTGGCAACGGTCGTGCGACCACTGGGAGAAACAAGCAATTAGATGGAGCTAGAATGAAGCAGGCAGGCAGGCAGACAGACAGACAGACATACAGCGGGAAATATGGGAACAATTATGTTTCCATTTCAATCATAATATGTGGCAAACGTTTGAACTGTTGAACAAACAGAGTACAAAGTTTCCTCTGTTCGTTGACCAGAGAAGATACAAATCCTCCAAAGAGCTCACAGGTCCTTTGGAAGCCAGCCAGTACATGCTGTATGCGGAGAATGGCAAGGAACGTTTCCAGGCAGGGCTGTTCTCATGCCTCTCAGCACAAGGGAGAAGGCTGCTGCTTCAAGGGAGTGAGACGAGGCCAGCTGGAAGTTCAGCGAGGGCGGGGGGAGCAGTCTCTCAACGGCCTCGTGCTGCCGAGATGAGCTGGACTACCATCCCAAGTGCGTGGTAGTCCAGTGCAGCTGCGGGGTGCCGGGCTGGGGAGCTCCCCTCTACCAGTGCATAAACATTGGACGGGAATGCAGCACACCCATCCCACAAAATCAAAAATCAGCTGTTTGGAATGGGCCCTCGATACTCTCAAAAACGTTGGAAGCATTTGGAGTTCCAGCTCACAATGCCTGATTCCTCCTGGCAGCTGGTGGATCTGCAGCCTGCCCACAAGGGCTCCACAGGGAGCGAACTGGGCCAGATGCCTGGCTTTGAGGGTCCTCCTGACTTCTCAGTCTTAATGCAGAAAGAGAAAAGCTGAAGGCAGAAGAAGGAAGGGAAGGCCAAATATGAACTGGATCGTTTCCATAAAGGGAGCCACAGCTGCGAGTTTGCAAGGACTGAGCAGGGCTGTCCCGACAAGCCAGTGTGGAAAACTTTCATTCCTTAAGTCAGAGATGACTTGATGGCACATAACAACAGCAGAGCTTTGCAAATTAGGAATGCTGCTGATGACTGCATTAAAATAAGTGACCCCTTTTACTGATCTGCTGCGCTGAGCGACTGTTTCATGTCCAGATGCTTGAAAACACACACACCAAACCACACACGGTCATGGCATCTGGGAAGCCAGATGCAGAGGGAGGTGGAACTCGTTGGCTGGAAGCCAGAAGTTCAGCTGATGCAGGGCTGGCTCCACTGCCCAGATCTACCCTTTGGCAACAGAAGTGTCTCAGCATCTGGTTACCATAGATGTGAACATCGACGGTAGCCACTCCCAACCCTGGCGCCTTCCGGTTATGTTGGACCACAGCTGCTGTAACAGCCCCCTAGCGGGACCTTTGGTGATGCGACTCAGCGCTCTGTCCTTTGCCCCTCTGAGAAAGCTCCGTCCTTATGGTAACCTTCAAATCCAATCAGCCAGCCTGCAAGTCCCATTTCTGCTTGTGAAATCCTAGAGGGCCCTGGTACGTGTTTGTTGCTAGTAAATCTGTGCTTGACATCCTTGCCTAATTTGGATGACAATATTTACTCTGTGCCTCCCAGAACTGCTGCAGTCATTTTCATGAAAGATAATATTTGATTTGGCTCTTCCCAATCTTATACTTTAATCCATGGTTAAGTTACACAAAATGTTCATAACATCTTAATGCCACTCATTATTGTATTTTGTTATTGGTGGTTTTAAGCCAGGACTGGGGGCTGTACCAAAAGTAGTAAAATGCCCACCAAGTGGTGAGACTGGACGTAAGTAGCCAGGCTGGGCATCGCGCTCCTCGTGGCTTCCAGGTTTCTTAAACGGGGAGATCCTTTGCTCCTTTCTTTAGTGCAGGCAAATAGACCTGGCTCTGCACAAGCTGGAGCAGATGCTCGTTCGCGGTAGCAAGGTCCTTCAGGTGAATTTACTCAGCAGGAGGTCAGGGCTGCACCGCTTCTGCTTGCCCTGTCTGGGTGGCCCATGCCCTCTGGTACCCCTTGCCATGGGGCAGCCCTATAACATCCTGAGGGAGGGAACCGGCGTACTCCAACCCCTAAAGGGGACTGCGACGGGTGCACAGAGCTCAGTTGCTGACCTTTTATTCCCCGCTAGGCTAGACTCACACCCTGTGGATGGCAACCCATCTTAGACAGGGACATCTGCCCCAAGCCCGGATGGCTAAAGGTGCTATTTTAGGCTTCAGCACATTTAAGTGAATTCGTCAATTCATTTCAAATGCTAAATAACCCGAAGGCGCTCTCCAAAGTTCCCTTTCGTATGTCTGTACAGTAGATTTCAGGTGCCTGGGCTCCTGCTCCTATCGCAGTCCTGAGACAAAGGTGGGGTAAAAATGCTGGAAACAATAGTAAAGAAATGGACCTTTCTTCGGGGACAGCAAAATGTGAAACATAAGCCCCTGTAAATGATGCTGCTGTGTCACACCGTTTGGTGTGAGCCAACTGGGGAAGTCGCCTGAAGGAAAGCAAACACAGCAGGCAGAAAAAGGAATCTGTGGCCGGGGGAGACTTGTCCCAAAATAGCAAGGCGACTTCCCAGAAAACAACGCCAGCCCACTAGCAAAGCGAAGAGCGTTTCAGCACTTCCTGCCCCGGGAACAGGAGTGTGGCTTCGGCTTGCTGTTCCCACGCTGGTCTGCGGCGTGCTGCATGCTGGCGTGTCTTGATTTGCTGGAGCTCTTTCTTCCCTTCTTCTCGAAAGCGTTTCTGTCGGGACCTGCACCGCTATCTCAGCGGCACATAAAACATGTCCTGCAGCTTTTCACAAGAAGGGGCGAGAGCCCAAGCCCTCGCCCGGTCCCTTCTCGCCTAATTCTCCTGTCTCCTCTGAATGTTGGATACAGATATAGGTTATTTTGCCAACGATTCACAGCGATGCTCTTCCGTGCATGGGTGTGTGTGTGTGGTGCGGAGAAGTGTTTCTGTTGTGTTTGCCTACTTCTTTTCACTCAGACATAACTTGTCAGTTTCGACATGTTGGCACATCCACACACAAAGAATGCTTTTATATCGGGCCACTGGTGGAACAGACATTGTCCAGACTTTCCCTGGAAGCCGTTGTCCTCCTACATGAGAGACAGCAGCATTAATCAGCTGATACATCCTTCGATGGAAATACTAATTTATCTCAGGGCCAAATGGCACGCGATTCCCCTGTTGGCATGTGTGGGTTGTCCTTTTGTTTCCCGATTCCTTCTGTGAAGCCCGGGAAGCAGGACATGAAATCAGGTTTCATGCAGGTTTCATGCACTCATTTCATTCAGCTGCACTCTGCAAAAAATCATTCCCCATCTGCCTACTGCCATTTGCTGCACAAAAGAAAAGATATTCATACCGTATTATCCAACCTTACGCAGGTTGGCCCACGGAGCTCCAGAGAGTACACTGCAGATCTGGGTGATTTGCAGACGATTGCTGGGAACTTAGGCGCAGGGGTGTACACTGACTCCTGAGCTTCCACGAGACTGAGAACTAGCGTGGTCTGCGTGACATTGCAAGCAGGTATGTGGAGACTTCTTTGTACGTTATGATCCCATCTGCCATCCTAAACTGTCATCCTAACCCTGAGATCATCATCGGAGGCCCTGCTCTGGGAGCCATCTCTAAAGGAGGCTGGGGGGGGGGGCGGCTCCCCGGGGCAGGGCCTTCTCAGTTGTGGTGCCCCATCCATGGAATCGATTTCCCAGGGATATTCGTCAAGCACCATCTATATACCCATTCTGGTGCCAGACTAAGGCGTTCTTATTCAAGGAGCGTTTTAATTGTTGATTATTTTAATTGGAATATAATTCTAATTTTACGTTAGTGTAATTTTTAATTACTTAATTTAAGGTAGTTCCAGTCTGTTGCTAAACTATTATTTGGTGCTTCAGTTATGTTATGTAATTTATTATTGTTTTTCTGGTTTTCATTCCTTAAACTGTAGGTATTTTAGGACGTTTTATGTTGTTGGTTGTTATCATGTAAACTGTCTAGAGAGCCATGCGGCTACAAGACGGTGTACAGAAGTGTCAGATAAATAAACAGACAACTGTGAGGGACATCTCTGCAGTTGCTGTTCTGCAGAAAGTGTCAATTACTGCAGTGCAACATTTTTCTTGCAGAAGGGCTTGACTTAGTTGCTTTCTTACCTTTTGATTACTTCAAAGCAGTCTTTCTTAAGTCTTCTGGAAGCATGTCCTACAAAACCAGGCCTAGAAACCCACAGAAGTATCTTCTGTGCACAATACTATCCTTTGTCCAGAATTTCTGCACATGTTTGGTGCTCCTGTGCACACGAAACACACAAGTACCTGTTTATAATCTATTGGTACTCCCACCGGAGAAGAGTGTCTGGCCTTATTCTTTACCGCCCTCTTCCCCATTTCCTGCAGTATTCCCGTGCTTCCTTTTAATTTTCTTATTCCTTTGACAGGTCATGAGGTAAATACAATCGTTTCTTAAAATACATGGCTCCCGACAGGGAAATGTGAAATGCGGGATTCCTGCGTCATTCTGAAGGGAAAAAGAGGTGAAATGCAGACTGGCTCGGTGCAGCGATTTGCCTGCCGGCCTGTCCCTTCCCTGCAGCTCATCTTGGGCACCAGTGTGAATTCTGCTGCAGGCCTTTTGTACGTGCGCTGAACCTTCTGACGCTGCTGCAGCCATGTGGGAAGGGCGGCTGCAGAACGGGGGCAAGAATGCCTGAAAGCATAAGATACAGACCTGCTCAAGGCGAAGGCTTCTTCCAGAAGAAAGCAGCACTAATTTCTGAAGCAGTCCACGCTTTTAGTACTTGGGTTTTTTGCAGAAGCATTCCTGTGGGCCAAACAGGATGTTAAGGTCAAGTGCATGTTTGCCTTTGACGTGCTTGTGTTTATTTATTTATCCAAATGGAGGATGAAGGGGGCGAGTAGGATTAGGGCTTGCTGCCCTGCAGGGAGCCCTTTCCCCATCCCAAGGAAACTCACCCCAAAGTTGCTATCGGGTGACTTTCTTCAGGCTGGTGCAAAGGAAAGGGGTTGCATATGTAATTCAGATTCATGTTTTTGGAGTCGGAAGTGTCACCTCAGCTTCGGGGATTCCCATGCATCAGACTTGCTGCCACCTCTTTGCTGATGTGGCATGGGGTGTATGCAGTCCCATAAGCTGCAGGCCATCGAATACGATCGGCCACTGCACGTCATCCATCCAATGCTGCTTAATATCAACTGTCAAACATGACACAGAGTTAGAGGTTTACTAGAGCACATGAGCAAATGTTCGGTAAACATTCAGATAACGTGTAGAAAATGTTCAGTATCCAAACGTACAAAGATAAATTTTGGGAGCGAGCTTGCTTCTGCTTTAATGCCACCTGAGTGGAGAATCGCGTGAGTCTGTTCTTGTTTCATCACTGGGGTAGTTTTAGGAAGCCAGTTTGATACTGGTGTGGGAAAGAGCTGCAGTGGGACCTGCTCCTTCGTGATTCTGGCCTTTGTTCTCACATGAGGAGTCAGCCAGAGCACTCAGCCAAGAACCCGGCTAAAATGCTTTTGGTAGGAATGGCATCTGCATCCTTGGATGGATATGGCTGTCAGGGCCGGCCCAGCAGGAGACGGGCGGTTGGCTTTTGGTTCTCCATCGTGACCGCCAAAGCGCCCCTGTGTTCAGGCCGGGCTCAGCTGCTCCGCTTATCTTTCCAGCCGGAGCCTGCCCTACTTGGCAAACCTGCAGTGACACCTACCGATGTCCCTGAGGTATTTTATCACAGCAGGGGCCTTTCCTCACCAGAACTAGGACCCAAAACTGGGGGCTAACTCCCTACTCCCTCTGTGATGCTGCCGCTTTTATTTTCACATCACACGCTGCCTTACCGCCTCCCGAACCCGCAGAAAGTGCGGCCCATTTTCCAACACCACTACTACGAGCAGTTATCGTCCCACTGGGGTTGTTGCAAAACATTCTGCATTCTTGTGCGCCACCTCTGCTCCCAGCTCACCGCCCTTGGGACCCAGGGAATCCAGCCAAACCTTTGGAGGCCATCCCAGGCCAACCAAACCCTCTGGCAGTAGACACCCCAGCCAGAACCTGAGCCATGCCTGGCCTTGGCAAGTGGACTCTCGCTGCTCTCTCCCCCCCACTTCTTTCCCCACTGGCTTCCAAAAACAGCAACAAAAAGAAAAGCCATGGGCCCTCCTGCCAAATATCTCCAGGGCCTCCCAGATCCCAAAGGTCCGTGAAACTTGGGAGAAAAATGTCCAACCCAGCAAAGCCTTTTTCCTCTTTCCTTTCACAATGCACATCGACATTCTTCTCCCAGCAGAAAAATTGTGACAGCTGGGATGGAGAGGGTACAGCACAGAGATGCAGTGCAGACTTTTGGATCATTTTATCCACTGCCTGGCACCCCAAAAAAGGCTTGCTTTTAATGGGTAGGTTAAGTTCAATGCAAATGATTGCACATTTTCGGTGCTCCTGTGAACACGAAACGCATGTACCCTACCCGCACTGTCTGTTTCTATACCAACAAACATTCTTCGGCCCAGGAAATTCCCCCTTGTTGTCATGGAAATTATCTCTGCTGCAGAGGTTAGTTTTTCATTCACAGAAAAGGGAAGTGAGAGAAGCCAGCTGAAGGATGGTCCGTCCGTGTGCACTGGGCCAGATCTCATCTTTCCCGTGCTACAGTTCTAGCCATGAAACCGTATTTAGTGGGCGTCTCTGCTATGTGAAAGTGGGAATTTATAAAGCAAATACAATTCTATAAAGGAAGGAGGCACCACTGCAGGATGAGCGAAGACTCCTGGAAAGGACTTGGATGAATGTTTTTCACCCTTTCGGGAGTTTTTTTCTTTTTTTTTCAAGTAAGTTTTATTATTTTCTGCAAACTGAAAAAAAGAGACTAAAAGACATCAATCATCAGAGACATCATACCTACTGGGTCAGTCCCCTATTTATTTTTTTTATAGCAATCCGTAGACATACTCAGATCTACACATAGTCCCGTTTCTCTAGGCATTAATAAAAAGAGTTCCAAGTTGATAGAAGTATGTATCCTCTTTCTCCTTAGGAGGCGAAGTCAGCCTGTCCATTTCAGCGCAGTCCAGGATCTTTTTAAAATCAGTTCATCAGTAGGTGGTTCTTCAGTCCTCCAATGTCGGGCAAATACAATTCTTGCTGCAGTAATTACATGTAGAATCAAATACATTGCTTGTTTGTCAACATCAGGCACAATGCCTCGTAAGAAGACTTCAGATTTAAATATTAAAGATTTTTGTAACATTTCCTCAAGCCATTTATATATTTTAACCCAATGTTTTTTTGCCTTATCACAAGTCTACCACATTTGATAAAAAGTACCCGGTCATTTTTCACCTTTTCTGTATGGTGCTCCTACCCTGTAACTACAGAATACTATTTTTCATTGAATGGTGTGCTTTGCATGGGCAAATGGCTCTCGCCCCCCCCCCCTTGCGGGAGGGGCACGTGCCTTACTGTTAAGACGGTCCTCTCTTTGAAGGCATCCTCGGTGGGAAGGTTTGTCCAGGGCGTGCTGGGCCTGACCAGGAGTGTTGGCCAACAGGGCCACTGCACTCCCGCTCATTGCCCGGCCCCTCTGACCTGGGCCAGCACGAGAGGGAGCTTGTGCCTCGTAAAGGGCCTCAGGAGGCAAGTGGGAAAACCTCCGTCCAGTCTGGGACCGGTGGGCAGAGTCCCCTTCTCCACAATCTGCTGGCCTGCTCCGTTCTGGAGGAAGGCTGCCCCTCGTCTCCCGCTCCTGCCCAAAGCGCCAGGCTCCCGCGGATCTTGTGCGTGTCCAGCTGGCAAGCAGGCAGCCTAGGGGCTCGCTAAGGACTGCAGGGAGGGAGAGCAGGTTGGCCAGGCTGGGGCAGCTTGGAGTCCCACCCACAGGGAGCAGCACCTGGACGGCAGCCTGAGCCAGGCACGCCGGTCCCCGTCAATGTCTCCTCCATTCTGGTGAGATCTACTGTGGTTTTGTTTGTTTTAAGTAGTCGCTGTTTCTAAATGTGCACCAACACATACGCATCGGTGCTAGCACATAGGGAGCTGTGTGTGCGTGTGTGTACAAGCACTTCACATGAATCCAGGTCTTTTCGGTCCTTTTTAAAATCATGCATTCTCTCTCTTTTGGCAATCCTAAGATGCCACCCGAAAGCGAACCCAGCCCTTTAACCTACCACCAAGGCTGCACCTGAGCACAGCACTGGGAATTAGTGGGGCAACTTGGATTAATATCCCCTCCCAGAGGGAGAAAACAGCTTGCTTAGCCATTGCAACACAAACAGAAGAAAAAAAAATCTTGTGGCACTTTAAGGACTAAGCCATTCATGATGGCATCAGCAAAAGTCTTAGTTTTAATGATGAAGAGGAGGAGCGAACGGGGGGGGGGGCGGTTGTCCAGGAGCTCCTACTGGGCTGTGGTCCCTCAGCTACCACCCAACAATGGCCCCAATTATACGCATGTATATCTGCCAACATAGGAAAACACTTTCACATCCTACGAAGTCCATGAAAACTTG